ATTTTTAAAGGATTATGAAATACAATACCAGAAATGATTGCGAATGTCCAACATTGAGAATGGAAAGATTCAGCACAAAGGTAAGAAGAAACTCCTTGGACTGCAGAAGCGAAGAACGGAAGCAACATTGAGATTTACTAAACAAGAAAGCAGAGGAAATGCAGCATTTTAAAAGGACTGTGAAACAAAGTACAGGAAACAGTTGGAAATGTCCAACAYTTGACAACAAGAACATTCAGCACAAAGCCACGAAGCAACTCACCGGGACAGCGGAACGGACGAACGGATGCAACGTTAAGATTTACTAAACAAGAAAGCAGAAGAAATGAAGAATTTTAAAAGGACTGTGAAATACAATATATTCGGAATTTCCCCTCCTCACTTTAGAATGCAATGGAAACCTCAAGATGCAGATTATTATTGTTAAATATTAAGGTTACATTTCTTTATCATCAGGCAACATCTCCGGTTGCCTTTCCGCTGTTGAAGGAATGCAACAAAAAGCTCCGAAAAGCTGGACGGAGACGAGCTTTGCCTGCAGCAGCAGGTAACTGCAGTTATTTTTTTCTCGTCTTCTCTCTGTCTTCCTAAAGAACCTCTTATTTCCTAAGTTGGCGGTGTGTTAAACGGAGCAATGAATGAGGCAAGCGCATTCTGGCCACGTTGTAGCAAACACATGCTCTTGCCGTAGAAACTCATGGTGTCAGGTCAGAAAGTGGCGATGAGAGCTTCAGCACACGAGGCTGCCGAAGAGAAGGAGCTGGGGAAGAGAGACCGTCAGGAGCTGCAGGGCATCAGAGAGGAGCCCAACAGGTAGGAGAGAACCTCTGAGATCTTCACCCCCTGCGTCAGCACGGGACAGGATCTAGTTCAATCCACATGGGAATTGGCTCGCCGTGCAGCAAAGGAATACACTGCAGCGTCCCTTAGATCAAGATTGCCCATTTATAAAAGGGAACAGTCCTGCTTTGTAGAAAATCTCAGCCTGAGGCCATTGAACCCAGCTTTTTATGCTGTGGTCATTGTTGTACTGCATGGGGCTTCCTGGTTCCGTTGAAACTTCTGATTCTAAGCAAACTTCTGCCTTACAAAAGAGGTATTTCTTACATTCTAGCTAGTCTATGAACATCTCTTTTAACAGTCCTTTTTTTTTTTTTTTCCCTCTTTTCTATAGGGGTGGTTTTTAAAATAAATGCTTGATTTTATTAGCTACCCTATTGATAAGGACCTTCAGGAGCTCACAGGAAAATAACCACAAGTTTTTACTACGCACATCCTCTGATACTTTCCATTTCACCCAGAGCAGGCTCAAGCGAGAAGAACGAGACCAAGAGGAAGAAAGCAACTGCAAGATGGCAGAGGGAGTTCTGCTGGTAGAGTAGGCAGCGTTCATTCTAGGGAAATAAACGGAGAATGTGCAGAATTTGTTATTTCACCTAACAAAAGAGAGGGATACACTGCTGAGAAYAGGAGCATACAACCATGGAGACCTTATTGTCAGCGAACTTGATGGTCAAATCAGAGGCTCTTGCAGAAAGGAAGAGCACTAAATGAGAGCCCATAAACAAATTCTAAAAAGCCAGAGCCTGTGATGCTCAGAATATGCACGTCTGCAAAGACATCCTCACTTCTCTGGCACCAACCCACCCATTCCACTGAAAACATGGAGTTAATAACCCCCAACTCAACAGGAAGTTAATAACCCCCAACTCAGCCACTCAGACATCCTGCTCTGCTCATGCTGCTCAGACACCCTCCTTGAAACCAGCCCCTCCCAGCTGGGAAGCAGAACAATAAGTCCAGCCTGCCAGCAATGCTGCAATCCATGCTGGTCATCAAGTGTTGAGTTGAGTTTGCTAACGCACACAGAATTCCCCCAGCCTGGACGCCTGGGTTAAGCATGGAAATTAAGCACCTCCCCCTCTCCAAAATACACTAAGCAATGGCTATAAGGCAATCATCTTATCCCATAAATACAGGGACAGCCCAAGAGCTCACTGAGCTCTCCCTGCATCGCAGAGGGCTGCATGGCAGGACCTCCCCTTGAGGTGCCAGGGCCTGAACCACAGGCCCAGGTCAGGGCTGAATTACAGCTGAATACAGCCCTGCCTTTGTAGGAGGACACAGAACTCGCCTGTAGAACTGCTTGTGCCAACCTGAACGTAGGYTCATAAAACTGGAAATTCTGTAGGCTCTCGTGCAAGTGTTTTCGATCTCAAAAGGAATCCTTCCATCTGAAGATGGGGCTCTAAAAAGTAGAAAAAGAAAAAAATTAGAAAGCAGGGCATACCAGATGTTCCACTTCACAAAAAAAATGTAAGTTTTGCTGATTTGGTTCTATGAAAGCTGGTGCCTCTTGCAGCGACTTTGGAGACCTCATTTACAGGTGGACACACCATGTAGGACCTCCCAATTGCCGAGAAGGCTCCCAATCCTTGCTGCTACAGGGGCTCCTGAGCGACTTTGGATCTGGATGATGGTCATGTATTCAGGCAATTGGTCGTGTATCTTTTTCTTAATCACTATTGTCTTTCTTGTATASTAATGGTTAAATGCATTACCTTGGGTTTTTTTTGTGTGTAGCTAAAACCTAGCACATAGTAAGTTTTTTTGTTAGATGTTTCCTTTCATTTCTCTGTTATTTGTTACTAAGAGTAACCATAACCGTTCTTTCCCTGGGTGTCTGGTTCTTTCCACCATCCCCCCAGTCAATTGGCAAAGCAGCCCTGGCGCAGGGTCCCCTCTGCAGGACACTCCACAGGGTGCAGAGATCCTTCCACAACACATTGCGTGCCTTCTCTTCTGGAACTTGTAWACTTTACTGATGTAACTGTAACCGTTGACCAGGTCTGGGGCTAGGACTGGATCCAGCCGCATCCAGACGCCTCAGAAGAATTTGGAAATCAAGGGGGTCCAATCCGAACCTTGTGATACAACGGGGAGCCACCGGCGCTCGCCCCACACCGCAGTCTTGGCGCAGCGACAGCCTCAGCAGGTGGGAGGCAGCGCGACAGTAGCCTGGGGCCACCSCGAGGGCCGCGCTCGCCTTGCCGGGGCCCCACACCCTCCCGCCGCCTCCCCGCGCCCGCCGCCATGGCGGCCGCCGCCCGGTCGCTCCCCGCGCCGCGCAGGCGCAGTAGGGAGCAGGTGCCGGCAGCTCCCCGCGCCGCGCAGAGCGCGGGCGCTGCTGCCGGGGCGGCCGTGGCTGCAGCGCCGCCCTGTCCACAGCGGAGGGCAGCAGCGAGCGGAGGGCAGCAGCGAGCGGAGGGCAGCAGGGCGCATGCGCCCGCCTGGCAGAGTGGGGCTGCGCTTGGGGCAAATAGGGCCGCAGGATGGGCAGCAGGGCGCATGCGCGGAGCGCCCCCCCCCCCCACACACACAATGGGGTGGGGTGTCTGATCGCAGCGGGAAGGTAGCGACGACCACGGCCGCGCAAGGGCAGTACCGCGTATTCCTTTAAAAGCTTCCCRGAATCCAATGAGATTGTCTTTTCTTGCGACTAGGGAGGCGGCTTCTTCAAAACCAGCTGGCGCCTTGAAATGCACCGCAAGGTCTAGAACCCGGAATGGGAAGCTCCCAGCATGCCCTGCAGACTGGAACATGGCCGCCCGGAAGCCCAGTGACGAGAGACTACAGCTCCCAGCATGCCATGCAGATTACAACATGGTCGCCCGGAAGTCCCGTGACGGAAGACTACAATTCCCAGCACGCCCTGCAGAGTGCAACATGACCGACCGGAAGTCCCCTGACAAACGACTACAAATCCCGGCACGCTGCACAAGACAACATGGCGCCCGACAGTGCGGTCTCGGAAGACTCCCATTCCCGGCATGTCGGGGCACCCGCGCTCCATGACGTCTCCCCGGGGGCGGGGCCGCGCCGCTCCCTCCGGCGCCTCAGGGGGCTCCGTGCCCCCGGCGTCCCCGCATCTCCCCGCGACCCCCTCCGGACTGCCCCTACAGCTGCCTCTCCCCGCCCCCAACTGCCTGAGAATCCCCAAAATAGCAGCTAAAGGCACAGACAGCACTGGAGTCGCCATTGCTGCCCCCAACATACAGGACAGGACCACAGTCAATCTTGCTGCATTTTCAAGTCCCCCAAATACATGGTTCTGTTTCTGGGCCCACCAAAGGACAGTTCCTTCTGAACAGACAAACGCAGAGCCTTTGCCTAAAAGGCAAATAACACAAATAACCTTTGGTCGTGACTGGCTGCTGAGCAGAGCGTCTTCTCCACTGCACATGTTCTGCACACCCACTCCAAAGCACTCATGCACATTGGAAAATGTCAAAATTATATTTTGCGACCCGGTAATTCTCAGCCCTAGAGCACCCGTGTCATTCCTGCTTGTTTCCCATCTGCAGGGCTCAGGACTGTGGGTTATGGTTTTCACTCCGGCGCCATTGCTCATGTTTTTGTAAGCTCCGGTCTCTGCTTCCCCAGGTGCATGTGCGTGCATGTGCCACTGCGTGTGTGTGGAGCATGTGAGTGTGTGCTCACACATGTGCATGTGTGTCCTGCAGGCAGGATGAACACATGTGTCTGTATGCCTGTTGGAGATGTGTGTGGAGCACACAAGAGCACGTCTGAACCCACCCATGTGGGAGGTACATGTTGAGCACACAGGATCCCACCTGTGCACATGTGTGTGGGAGGCACGTGTTGAGCACACAGGATCCTGCCTGTGCATGCATATACGTGTGTGGGAGGCACGTGTTGAGCACATGCCATCCAACCTGCACATACACATACATGTGTGTGGGAGGTGATCCTGCCTGTGCAGACAGGGGGACCCAGGGGCAGCCGGCCCAGTGGCCCCAGCTCCCGCCCTGTGTCCCCTCTGCGCTTCCTGGCTGCGCTGCCCAGCGGCTGTGGCGCCGCTGGGCCAGGGCATCAGCCCCAGGTAACAGGGGGTGCATCTGTCCTTACCAGCCCTAGGGCAGGTGCCCCATCCCGGTGGGCGCAGTTCCCATGACATGGCCCGGGACCCCCGCCCCAGACAGCACCCCCAGCACTCTCCACAGCTCCGCTCACTTCCTCCGGCACTGGGCCCAGCGGCAGTGCCCATCTCGCAGTGCGGCCCCAGCGCAAACTGCCCTCAACGGCCATCCCGGCCACAGCACATGCCCGCACCCACCACAGCCATCAAGGAATGGCTGCAGGGAGTACTCTGCACTGCTCCACACATGTCCTCCTCCTCTTTCCAGAGAGCAGAACTCCCTCAACGGCTGCTATTGCTGAACCCAACCCAGAGCTCCTGCACCCTAAGAAAGCAAGAGCAGAATGAGCTCCTGAGCTCCTGGGCCTAGGTTTATGTAGCCCTAACCACACCTGCTGCCCTTGCGAGGGCTGGGCCCACCCCTGACGTGATCAATACAAACAGCGGGGCATTATTAGGGGGAAAGAGGGAACAGGTGGAGAAACAGTCATTAGAGGGAGGAGCAACAAACAGTTGTTAGGCAAGAAAGAGAGGTATTGGGGGAGTGAGAAATGGAACTATAAGGAAAAGAATCCTAGGGGGGAGGGCCTGAGAATTAGTGGGGAGACAAAAAGGAAATACTGGAATATGAGAGAAAGATCCTATAGTGGACAAGAAAAATAACTATTAGCATGAGGGGGACATAGAGGCTTTCATCTGCCCTCTCACGGCCTCCATGCACACAGTGCTGGGGGCCCCATTGTGTCATCGTGTGGCCCCACGGGTTCTCCATGTCCATGTGGTCATGGAGGCACTGGGGGCCTCTCTGGGGCCATCAGGGTCTCCGTGTAGACAAGTCTCGAGGGGTCCTTCAGGTCAATATGGACGTCACGGGGCCTCCTTGAGCAAAGGAGTGGTGGGACCTTCCCCCATGCTAACTAACACCATCAGGTGCTTAATTACTCCCTCATTACCCCCTTATTTACCTCATTACCATTTCCCCCATACAGGGCACCAACCTTCCTAGTCCCTGGGGCCCTCCAGGCTTTCGTGCAGCCTTCCCGGGCCTCTGTGCGCAGCTCCCACCCTGGGCCCTCCGGGTTTTTGTGTGGCCTCCTCGGCCTCTGTGCATAGCTGGCCCCCCAGGCCAGCTACCCCCCCCCCCCCCCCCCCCAGCATGGGGCTGGTGACACCATCCTGGGGCTGAGGACCTCATTAAGGGCCTGAGGACATCAGTGTGGATCTGTAGACCTCAGTGAGCAGTTGAGGACATCAGAGTGCAGTGCCCCAAGGCACCAGTGTGAGGCTGGGGGACATCCATGTGGGGTTGGGAACAGCAGCTTGGGATGTCCCCAGGGCACCAACACAACAGAGCAGCAAAACCAGGGGAGGGGGCAGCAGCCTGTGCCCCCAACTCCCCTCATCACCGCTGGAGCCCCCCCACTCCCTGTGCCCACCCCCCCCCCAGGGGCTCAGAAAGGGGCAGCTCCTGGAGAGAAGGTTTTAATGCTCAGAGGGGCTGGGGGCCGCGGGGGGAGCCGGGCGCCCTGGGGGCCACCATGGGGGAGTTTAGAAGCATTTCCGGTGCACAATGGAGGGCCCGGCCTCGTCGTACTCGGGTTTGCTGATCCACATCTGCTGGAAGGTGGAGAGCGAGGCCAGGATGGAGCCGCCGATCCACACGGAATACTTCCGCTCCGGGGGGGCGATGATCTGCAGGCACAGCCGGCATCAGCACCCACCATGGAGAGCCACGTCCCCCCTGCTCCCCGCAAGCCCTTTTCCCTGATTTTCCCATGCTCCAGGTGGGAACGACCATCCTGGGATCTCCAGGCGGTTTTCAGGTCCCCATACAGGGCGTTGTGTGCCCTTGTGCCCATATCCCCTCCCCGGGCACCTACTTTGATCTTCATGGTGCTGGGGGCCAGCGCTGTGATCTCCTTCTGCATGCGGTCAGCGATGCCGGGGTACATGGTGGTGCCACCGGAGAGCACGTTGTTGGCGTACAGGTCCTTGCGAATGTCGATGTCGCACTTCATGATGGAGTTGTAGGTGGTCTCGTGGATGCCGGCCGACTCCATGCCTGGGGGGCAGCAGAGTGAGCAACCGGGAAAGACTCCGGAGAAGGTGCCACTCTGCCAGCATGCCCCATCCCGGTGTGCAAGGCGCCCTTGGGTGCTTGCGCCCCGAATCTGCAGCCTCTGCAAGCGCCAGTACTCGCTCCCCAAGGCTGCTGCCTTTGCAGCCCTCATGCACACTGTGTCGCAAGCTGCTGTTGCACCCTTAGGTGCCAGCTCCCCAAAGCAGCCACCTTGCAAGCTCCAGGTGTGCCCCATTGCAGGGTACAATGCACCCTTGGTCACTTGCTTTCCAAATCTGCAACCCCTTCTAAACCCTGGTCTGCACTCCTCAAATCTTCAACCCTTGCAAAATGCAATCCTAAAGCTGTTACCCTTGCAAACACTATGCATGCTGCATTCAGAGTGCAATACACCCTTGGGTACCCCCTCCCCAAATCTGCAACCCCTGCAGCCTCCATGCACACCTCATTGCAGACTGCAATGCACTCTTGGGCACTCACTCCCCAAAGCAGCTACTCTTACAAACCCCACGCATGTSCCATTGCAGGGTACAATGCACCCTTGTGTGCTTGCTTCCCAAATCTGCAATCCATTTAAACCCTAATGCTCACTCCCCAAATCTGCAACTCCTCAAAACCTTGATGCTCATTCCCCAAAGCAGCTGCCCTTGCAGCCCCCATGTGCCCCCCATTTCAGGGTGCAATGCACCCTCAGGCACACATTCCCCAAATCTGCAACTCTTGCAAACCCAATACTTGCTCCACAAATCTGCAACCTTTTTTAAACCCCAACGCTCGCTCCCCAAAGCAGCCCCCCTTGCAAGGCCCATTGCAGACTGCAATGCACCCTCAGGCACCCCTTCCCCAAACCTGCAAGCCTTGCAACCTCCTTGCACGCTCCGTTACAGGCTGCAATGCACCCCTGCGCCCTTGCTCCTCAGCTTTGCAACCCTGCAGCCCCAGTTCCACAGAGCAGTGGCGCCTGCGAGCCTGCCACGCGGCCGCACCGATGAAGGAGGGCTGGAAGAGCGTCTCGGGGCAGCGGAAGCGCTCGTTGCCAATGGTGATGACCTGCCCGTCGGGCAGCTCGTAGCTCTTCTCCAGTGAGGAGGAGGAGGCCGCCGTGGCCATCTCGTTCTCGAAGTCGAGCGCCACGTAGCAGAGCTTCTCCTTGATGTCACGCACGATCTCCCTCTCGGCTGCAGGAGGGCAGCAAGTGAAGGCGGTGGCGCCGGTGCCAGCCCCCCGTCCCTGTCCCTTTCCACATACCGGTGGTGACGAAGGAATAGCCCCGCTCGGTGAGGATCTTCATGAGGTAGTCGGTGAGGTCGCGGCCGGCCAGGTCGAGGCGCATGATGGCGTGGGGCAGCGCGTAGCCCTCGTAGATGGGCACGTTGTGGGTGACGCCATCGCCCGAGTCCAGCACGATCCCTAGGGAAGGGGACGGGGATGTGGAGCGAGGCCGGTAGCCGCAGGGCGGCCCGGGACATGCCGGGGCAGCTACTCACCGGTGGTGCGGCCGGAGGCGTAGAGGGAGAGCACAGCCTGGATGGCCACGTACATGGCGGGGACGTTAAAGGTCTCGAACATGATCTGCAAGGGAAGGGAGCAGGGGTGAGCGCGGGCGGCGTGGGGAGCCACAGGGCTTGGGCATCACATACGCCCCTGTGGTGCTGCCTTGCACCCAGGCGTGGGTCAGTGCAGCGGCCCAGTGCCCCTGGTGACACATCTGGTGGCAGCGCTTTGCACCCAGGTGTGGGGCAGAGTGTTGCATGAACACGTCTGGGGGGGTACATAATCCACGTGACACATCTGGTGTCACTGCATTGCACCAGATGCGGGTCAATGCATGGCCCAGGTGACCATCTGGCGTCACTGCACTGCACCCAGATGTGGGTCACCACCCCACCCGGGTGACATGTGCATGTCCCCACCTGCGTCATCTTCTCGCGGTTGGCCTTGGGGTTGAGGGGTGCCTCGGTGAGCAGAGTYGGGTGCTCCTCGGGCGCCACACGCAGCTCATTGTAGAAGGAGTGATGCCAGATCTGCATGGACATGGGGCGCTCAGCGGGCCAGGTGGCGCGGCACCTGCTGAGCGCCCCGCGCGCCGCCCACCTTCTCCATGTCGTCCCAGTTGGTGATGATGCCGTGCTCGATGGGGTACTTCAGCGTGAGGATGCCTCGCTTGCTCTGCGCCTCATCGCCCACATAGCTGTCCTTCTGGCCCATGCCCACCATGACGCCCTGGCCGAGATGTCCCCATTAGCTGCGAGCGCCCRTGCTGGTGGCGGTGCCGTGCACGGCCGCCTGCACCCACCTGATGCCGGGGGCGGCCCACAATGGAGGGGAAGACGGCGCGGGGGGCGTCGTCACCGGCAAAGCCGGCCTTGCAGAGGCCGGAGCCGTTGTCGCACACCAGCGCGGTGGTCTCCTCGTCGCACATCTTGGGGATGCTGTGGGCACCTGGGGCACCTGGGCCAAGGCTGCCACGCCATGCGGGAGGAYGTCAGAGCCGGGGCCACCAGCCCATTCGTCCGGGAAAACCCGGCTGCCTTTTCCCGCCCACTACAGCACCTGTTCCTGGGACCTGCAGCTCACAATCCAGCTGGGTGGATCCATCCCAGTGTTGGCATCGGCCCCAGAGCTGGTTTTCCCTCCCCCCAAATCCTCCAGCTCCCTCTCCACCTCCAGGGGGATCTGGATGCTCTGGGTGGTGCCTCCATCCCAGCCCGGCTGTTTCCAGCTTGGAGGTGCCCAGCCCTGGGCAGAACAGACCCTCCAGGCATTCCGGCACCCGGGAAGACCAACAGCTCCAGGCCAGGAAGAATAAAGCCCAGCACCCCATTCCCAAAGCCTGACCTGACATGGGAATCATCCCAGCCGGGAGCTTCCCGGCCCCAGATCCCAAGTGGGCACCCGAACCCCCCACATGACCCGAACTCCTGCTTCCCTTTGCCCTTTTCCCGGTCTCCCGCGAGCTGGGGCTGGGAAGCAGCCGTACTCACCGCGGAGGCGAGAGCTCCCTTCCTCTGGGACCGAGTCCTGCTGCGCCCTGCGTTTAAATACCAGGGAGCCTTTGAAACCCCAGAGGCGGATCCTCGCCTAAATGAAGGCCCTAAATAGGCTAAGTGATGGTGCCTTGGCCTTATGGCCATATAAGGTGCTTTATTTCATTAAATCGACCTTGGAATGGCAGTAGGACCCGGTGTAGTTAATTATTACAGGGGAAAAAAATCGCCAGCAGGGAGGCGACGGCCCCTTTGGGAGTCCCTTCCTTTTATGCTGCACTCACGATAAACAAGCGAGACAGAAGTCCTTATAAGCTACGAACTGCGGGGGGGGAGGAAAAATTTAAGAAAAAAGGAAAAAAAAATACAGTGTGCGGGAATGGCTCTGAAGCTCCTAGGAAGGGCCTGGGCACTGAAGAAATCCCAGTGCGGAGGATGGGACTGCGTCCTGGGATGCTGAGAGCCACTGGCTGCTCTGCCACAGGAGGGCCCTGACCCCGCCGTGCCAGCTCTGGTGGCAGCACTGCCGTGTCACTGAACAGCCTGGCCGGTGCTTTTTGCCCCCGTTTTGGGGCCTTTACAGGGACCCAAACCGAGGACCAGCGCGTGGCCCATAGCACCAGGACCCCCCAAACCSCAGGGCCTGTTTTGGGGGGAAACTGGGGACTTTAGGAGATGGCAAAGTGGGGAAACAGAGGCTCGGGGTGGCCGATGCCATCATCCCAGGGCCTGGGTCCCAGGTCCTAAGGGGCCTGGATGCGGCCCCTTGGTCTGCACAATCACTGCCCTGTCACCCGTGAGGTCCCCAAGGCCACGTGCGACCTGCTGGGGAGGGAGAAGAGAGGGGAAAAGAGCAGGGAAGGGATGCAAGGAGTGTGGAAAAGGGGATGCTGCTCTGGCCGTCACTGCTCCCAACAGCAGTGCTGGGGAAAAGCCACATCGCGGCATCCCCTGGGAGGAACCCCTCCGATCATCGCTTGTCTGCAGGATCTCAGGATCCCGGGCTCCTCTGCCAGCCCTGTTGAATTCCCCGGAGAAAAGGGGGGCCCATTCCCAGACCGAAGCCCCGGACCAGAGCGAGAGGCAGCCTAAAAAGGCAACACGGAGGTGCCGCAGCCAATGGAGCCGGCAGCCGGGCAGCCGCTGCACGGGAGCGGGTGCCGTCCCGCCGCTGCCGCTGGGAATGCCAGGCATGCGCCGGGATGTGCGAGGCTCCACTCCGCACGGGCCGTGCCGGGATCCGCGCAGGATGCCGGCCCTTTGCCGTGCACTTCCCAAAGCACTCCAGCTCCCGCCAGCACCTCCCTATATGGGTAACGTTCCTGCTGCTCCGCACCCCGGGGCCACCGGAACTGGAAAGTGCTTGGAGGAAATGCGAGGTTTTGTTCCTGCTTTTGCGGGAAGCGCCCACGGAGCCACCTGGCACCAGAATGGGCCCCATCCCTGGCTGCTCCCGACACATTCATCTCGTTGACCAAGGAGTGGGGCGCATCAGAGCAGGACGGTGGCATGCAGGGCTGTCCCCAGCCCAATCCCACCTCCCACTTGGTTCCCAATAAACTCGGGCTAACAGGGAGCTGCCAGAGGGCTTCACCCAGCACCTCTCCTGCTCCCCCTCCACAAAAACAACTGGGATTGCAAAACTCAGCTGTGCTTGAGGGGCCCAGCGTAAAGAAATGCAAACGCAGGCCAGGTAAGAGAATCTGTCTGTATTAAACCAACACCAAGGTTTTCCCTGTGCCATTCTCCTGGCAGCGATACCGGCTGGTGACACATATAGATAACTTAGATACCTTTTCCGTGCAGAATGGCACCTCCAGCCTTTGCCCCTCCTAGGAATCGGGAAGCGGCACCTGGAGCAGCCGCAGGGCCCTGGCGCATCCCAAGCCCTCCAGCTCCACTCGAGGCCCGGAGTGAAACCCCCCAAGAAAGGAGAGAAATAAYGGGATGTCCCATGTGCCCCATCCCGCCTGCTGTTGAGCAGCATCCGAGCCACCCGAAAGGCCCAAATGCGACACTCCGAAAACAGGGAAAGGATGAGGGTTGGAGCCTGTGAGGGATTCAAGAGCTACACGACTGCCTCAGTGTCAGCTTCGGTCTGTGCGTTCCCTGCGAGCTCCTCCCGCGTGCGAGGCTGATGCCGGGCGTGGAGCTGCCACCCGCTCCTGCCAGGCTCTGCTCCTAGACTTGGCTGGTGGAGGGAGGGGAAGGGGCCGCTCCGCGGTCAAAATCATCTGCGCCGTGAGGCATCGGTGCCCCCGGGCGGAGGCAGTGCGTTAAGACAGGAGGCCTAGCGGAGATCCATGAGCACCACGTTCCGCTCCATCACCACCACGTGGCTGCAGGTCTGCAAGAGAGAGGACGTGGAGGARGAGCGGGAGGAAGACGAGCTCCGGGCTCCCCTGAGGCTGCTCCGGCCTCTCCTCCTGACCCATGGGTGCTTACGGTGAAGAGCGGAGGCTCTTTGGCGTGCGGGTGGAAGCCCTTCTGCCGGCAGGACGAGATCTCCTCCAAGCCGTGTGCAGTGAGCTGGAAGAAGCCCGTCCTGCAGCACAGAGGGGAGCTTGGAGTGGCCCCAGCTGAGCAGGGGTTCCCACCCGGCCCCTGCCCCTACTCACTCCTGGTATTTGGGAGCGCACACGATGGCCACGGACTCCGGGAGCATCATCTGGTAGGAGCAGTGCGTGTGCAGGTCCACGCTGGACAGGAAGGCCGTCTGCGTGGGGTGAGTCTGCAGGGCAGGGGGAAACACGATGCGGGAAGTTATAACTCACCRGAGACCGTGGGTTGTCCTTTGCTTGCTGCTACAGGCAGAAAGCAGCTTCAGACTGCCCCAAAAAGGCCGCTTTCACCCCAAGGTGGCCAAAGATTTTAAGATCTCTGATGGCAACTGTTTTGGCGTAGATTTTGCAGCAAAATGCTGGCATGGAGGTTTCTTTTCACCTTTTCGCTTGTTTCGGTTCTGCTGCAAAGAGCATCAGGGAGGTGCGAGCGACTTGCAACGGTCCCTGTGTGCTCTGGGCCCGATGTGGTGGAGTTAACGGCGAAGGTGGCAACCCGCATGGACCAGGCAYCGGCCGCCCAGCATGGACCAGGCACTGACTGCCCTATGTGGACSGGGCACTGGCCCCCCCGCCATGGACTGGGCACCGGCCGCGCCCACGGACCGGGCACCAGAGGCAGGAGTTTCTCCCGGGGAGCCCGGGAGGTGGCTGCTGCTTTCGAGAGATTACTCAGCAGCCCTGAGCACATCGTTGGCACCGCTCCGGCGGCCAAAGGCTCYGCGGGGACAGACGGCAGCGCGGGAGCGAGTGCAGGAATCCGCGCCCAGCGCATGCCAGAGCGGAGCGGCACGCGGGTGGAAAAGTAGCAGGAGGCCGGGCTGCCCTCACACTGGCTCCGGAGGCGGCCTTGAGCTCCACGCATGCCCAATCCTGCTTTCAAGAGGACAGATGCTTTTGGAAACGGATGTGAGCTGAGAACAAACTGGAATTTTCCCAGCGCTGTGAGCAGCGATGGCTCCACAGGAAGGGATCCAGCTGCGGGATGGATGCTCCCTGCTCCATCCCGTCTCCACCAGCAAATCTGCCTTCACCACCCCTGCATCCCAGCTAGACCCAAGGCTGATGTGGAAGAGAATGGGAGAATGGGAATGGGAGGCTCACATGGATCCATCCGAGCGTCACAAGACCATGCTGGTCCTGGATGAGGAAGAGCTCCTCCTCGTTCTCTGTGTTGCAGTAGTCGGGGCCCCCATGCTGCTTGGGGACGATGACGTGCGTCACCGTGAACTCGTTCCTCATCTGCGGGGCAGCACACGGGGGCTGTCACCCTCCAACTGCCCCCAGCACTTGGTCCCAAGCCATTCTCAGGGTCTTCAATGGGGGTGAGCACCTTACCAGCTTCCCACAGAGGATCCCGCAGGTCTCCACGCCCCGCACCGTGTTGGCATCAGCCAGCTGCAGGAATTTCTGGCAGAGTTCCCTGGGCACGACGACCTGGCGCAGAACATCCATACTGGCACCTGTGGGGACACCGGGAGCACTGCAGGGGGAGAAAGCTTCCCTCGGGACACTCCCCAAAGGGGGAGACTGCAAAGAAACAGCCTGGAAATATTGCCTATTCTCCTGGGCATCCTCAGAAGAACCTCCAGGCCTTCGTGAAGTCACTGTGGCACTTTATGAAGTCACTCGTGGGCACTACCTCTTCCAACCAGGGGAAGAGACACACGGAGGCCTTTAGAAGTGGGCCAAAACCTAGCATTTTGCTAAAGACAACGGAAATGCAGCCACTTCCAAAGGGTCATCTCAAGTAACGTGTGCCACTGGTCAAGAAGCAGCAATTTGGAAAGGGTCTGAATTAGTATTTTGAGGCCTGTTTGGCAAAGGAGGGGGATTCAGGCAGCCTAGCCAGGAACTGACCCCTCATCTCAAACAAGTATTTGGACCCAGTCAAATCAAGATGTTCAGGAGCCAGATTCCCCAAAGGAGCCAGTTCCCAAATCCTCACTGGATCCAGTGCATTGGAAGAGCAAATCGTGCAGRGAAGGGAGCTGTGACCAGGTCCTTAGGTGCCTCACAGAGCACTCAGCTCCTCAGCTGCATTCGGTTCGGGCCCAGCAAGGGACAAGGCTGCACTGAGAGGTACTCACTGGTTTCCGGGCTCCCCAAAGCACTCGGTTTCAGGGATCTGTCCACGGCAGGAGGTTTGGGGGGCACAATTCCCGCTGAAAGACTTGCAGGCTGAACTGGAGAGACCGGAGCCTTTGCGATTAAATTGGTCGGGGGCTTTTCCACGCCGGGGATGAGAGGCCCACCCAGAGACTGGGGACTTGGCTCCGGCCTGCCAAATTCCTGCACTATCTGCAGTCGCTCCTTCTCCAGCTCCTGCCGCCGGATCATCTCCTCGAAGGCGTGGAACTGCTCTTGCTCGGCCTGCTGCTGCTTCATGAGGGCCACTCGATTCCGCTCTTCCTCCAGCTGCTGCTGCAAAGCTAAGTTGCGCGCAAATTCCTCCTCCTCCTCCTTCTGTGGGGAAAAGTTGCCAAAGGACATGATCAGAGAGCAGAGCATGCACTTGAGGAGGGCGATGGGGCCTGCACACCGCTGCGCTCATGGAAGTGCAGCAGAAACACAATCCCGGATTCATTCCCTCTGTCCTATCCACAAAAAAACACTGCGCTCCCCTGCTGCAAAACCATCTGTCAACTTTTCTGCATGCAGAAGCCCCCACACCAGCCCAGGCTGCTACCTCGGGGCCTTTGCCTCGTGTTGGGACAACCAGGACAAGAAAGAAACCTTCCCCCAGCTGGAGAAAGGACGGAGAGGCGGAAGCTGCTGCAGTTGGAGACACACTTGCCTTTGGTTTTCTCCCCTCCACTCCCTTTGCAGGGGCTTTTGAGGAATAACTAAAGCCAGAAGCAGCGCGAGTTGCAGCGACTCCAGCTCCGACTGCTCCAGGCCGCCTGACAGGGAGCTGCGACGATTCTGCCTTTCTCAGAGCTCCCATCGCAGCATATCCCAGGAGCGCTGCCCTCTCCTGAGCCCCCGTGGCGGCAGGCTTCATGGAGCCTCGGGGCTGCTCTCACTCACCTTCCGCTCGCTATACTTGGCATAGTCCCTGGTGTAGCGCTTCAGCAGCTCCTTCTTGAGCTCCTCAGCCCTGGGGAACGCCACTTCTTTCAGCTTCTGSAGGAAGGAAACGTGTGCGTGTCAGAACAGGGGGGACATCTGGGTGCCGGGAACGGGGCGCTGGACAAGGGAGCCCCATTGCACAAGCGAGCCCCGTCTGAGGGGCTTCCAGGAGCCCCTCGAGCAGAGGCGGCAGCATCACCGCTTACCTTGACCGTCTCCTTCTTCTCGGGGATGACGGCGTTCCTGTAGTCGCGGTGCTTGGGTAGCTTCTCGATGAAGAGCCTGCAAACACACGAGAGCTCGGGAGGATGGTGCAAAGGGGCCAGCACGGAGCAGCGAGCGTGGACTGGGGGCCCAGCTCGTTCCCTGCCCCACTGCCTCCCTTGGGATTTCAGGGGTGGTTTCAGCATGCCTCTCWGCAAAAACCACATCCTCAGCTCTTCCTGTGCGGGACCCAGCTCAGTCCCAAGGGAGCACCTTGCACACGGGACCCTTCCTGCACCTGGACTTCGGATACAATCCCCAGGGCTGCAGGCGTTGGCTTTTAACAGAAACGCTAACAAAGCAACCCAGAACGCAGAGAGCTCCAGCAGCAATTCAGGAAGGTCCTTTTGCACCTGCCCACGTCCCCAGGAGCACCTAGAGGGATCACGGGCAAACGCAAGGACGCAGATGACTCAGGGCTCCCCCATCCCATTGCGCCAGCAAACGCAACAGTTTGTCCAGGGGAATTAGCTCAGCCCTTGGAAGCAAAACTTGCAGATGGGCTAAGAACAAGTGTGCACAGAGGCCATGGTGAATAAATGCAGCTGCATCCAAATCCAAGGACTCCGGGTGCGGGCAGTGCTTTCTGGAGCTGCCAGATACCACAGGGAGCACCGAGATGCTCCAGTCAGAGGCTGCGAGATGGGCGCGAGCCTGGAGAAGCCATCACGCCGAGCAAAGGGCCAGGAAAGGGCCCCACTCCTGGCAGGCCGGCACCTGCGAAGTAGGTCACTGTGCTGGGGAGAAAGCCCAGGGCTGCGAGCGCTGCCAAGAGCCTGCGGATTAACGTGGAAGGAATTAATTAGGAAAGATTAAGAGCAGATGCCGGCCCGCGAAGGGTGGGGGAAATCAGTGGGGTTTCCCAGAGCAAGAAAGGGAGGAAAAGGACGGGAATGCTCCAGCAGCCCAGGGATAATTTTAGGGCAAGAGCCGGTGGGGGAAGGAGGCGGAAATGCAGGAACAGCTGGAAATTTCCTCTCCGTAGSCATGCGGAATCCTGCAGCTCCCGTCGCCACAAGGTTCGCGCTCGTCCAAGCCCCCGTTCTGCCTCTTTCTTTCCTATTTCGCTCCAGAAGGAACAAACTCCTGCATCTGCAGGTGGCTCAAGGAGGACAATTCTGCTGGTGACTTCCAGGGTGGTGACAGACGCGTCCTGAAAGTCCATTTTGAATACTAGCGGGATCAACAGGATCTTGGGAACAGGATATTGGTGGAGGGAAAGGGGAGAAATGCAGTTTTCTAAGGGCACCCTGTGCCCCTGCAGGAGCAGGGCTCACTCCCACGGGGAGTGTGCTCGCTCCTGGCCAACGTTCCTCACTTTTCCGGGCTGGACTCGTTCCCGGGAGGACGTCCCTGTCCCCAAGCCAGAGGCCAGTGCAGAAGGCTCCTGCACAAGGCCCAAGCGAGGAGGGCTCCCAAGCAACTTTGCTGAGCATGGACTGGGGRGAAGTCATAGGGACCCTTTCGAGCCCCGGAAAGGGGGCAGCGGGCTCTGCCGAAGGCGCCGCTCGGGGTGTCCTGCTCCACTGTGGGGAGAGTGGCCTCGGYGAAGGACCCTGCATCCTGCCTTGCTTGCCCATGAGGTGACACGGGCCACCAAGGGCCAAGGCAGGCTGCCCATGCACGGGCCGAACGCCTCAGGGCAACAACGCGGGGCAAAGCACAGCCCTGACGGGGAGGCTCTGCCCTCGCGGGGCTCAGTAGCCGCCCCAAAGCCCCCAGGTGCGCTTGGGTCAGTTATTTAGCTAGGGAAAGAACGGCTTTCTCCTTTGGCTCCGGCACCGTAACCGGCCTGGAAAACTTCCCAAGGGTTTTACACTTCCCAGCTCCCTGAGCAGCGTCCCAAGGAGCTCGCTCCAATGCCCATAAAAGCTCAGGAAGTGCAAGGCTGGGAAGCAAAGCTAATCAGAGAAAAATGTGTTGGATTTAAGGGACAGGAGCCCTGTACATAGGGGCAGGGAGGGAAGATGCCAGCAGGGATGCCAGGCAGGCGCCGGGGCCACGGCACCACGGAGCAGAGCCACTGAGATGGGGGGAAGGCRGGAGGGACGCGTGTCTGGCCCCACAAAGCCCGAAGCAGCAGCATATTCGGTGCCAGGGGGATATTTTTCCAAGCCTCGCCGCTCCAGACGGGTATGTTTGCTCTGCGGACAGGAGACGGGTGGGGACGTCACCATGCGAGCACCTGCTCCCCGTTCCATGGCTTTTGAACCCAAACTGGCCCCTCTGCAGCCCAGAGGGTGGCCCGAACACACAGCTCTGCTCCTGCCCCAGGAGCTGAGGGACCAGCGGGGGCTCAGCCCGTTTTTGATCCATTCTGGGGCTTTTTGATGCTTTGAGAGTGTCTCAATATCCGAGATACCCACAAACGCTCGGCCTATTTGGCCAATAGCAAACAGCGTGACTACCACATTATTACTGCTAAGCTGTTGAAGAAAAACCTGTGCTTCCATGTGGGTCTTCCCAGCGCTCCGAAGCGGAACCTGCTCCCTGCTCTGCTGGGTTTTAATGACCTAGATGTGAATGAGGCTTCTCTTCCGAAGCAGGTTTAGGTGCGAAATCACTGATTTCGATCACCAAACCCTTGCCAGGCACAGGATACCAGGAAGCTCCTCACAAAACTGTGATCCTTGCCCATCTGTAMAAGGTGGCAGGAAGGTCAACACCCAAATCAGCCTTTCTGTGGTGATAAATCATCAAGGAGCATCGGATAAGGAGCCAAGAGCTGCTTTGGGACTTAGAAGTGACCGCAGTTTTCAAGGAAACTCTCATGTCTGTCCTGCAATGGGATGAGCAACGTTTCCCTGCAACCACCTGGCATCTTTTACTCTATCTGCTGCTCTTCCTAACCCGTCTGTCTGGAGCTGAAATCCCGGAGGAGCCCTTCCAAGCAGCAGGACTGTGGCCAGAGCTGGTTCCTCCAGCCCTGCGAGACTCGCCAGGGGTTTGGGGTGCTCGGAAGGAGGCGAAAGGCAGTGGGCGCCGGTGGCACCAGGCGCTCCTTACGTGATGTACTTGTTGTACAAGATGAAGGCGCGCTCCATGTTGCCCTCCTCAGAGTAGACCGTGGCCATGCGGAGGATCTCCACGCCGGAGCGGTAGTAGCGCCGCGGCGGCACCTCCTCGTTCACCTCCACGGCACTTCCCATGCGGATGAGGCTGCGGATGCGCTCCTCCGGCGGGAGGCTGATGTCGCTGTGGCCGGCCATGGCCCCGCAACCTGCCAGGGCAGGAGGATGGCAACAGAGAAGTCGCCCAGGCTCTTTCCCAGACAGAAATCCCTTCCCAGGAAGGGCAGAGTCTGCCGCATGGACTAGGGGAAACCATGTGGGAAAAGCCAAGGGCTCTCCTGGAGGCCGCATGCAAAGCTGCCGTTTGCCTCCCTACTGCCATCCTCCCCCCTCAAAAAAAACAGAGCCCCCCCCCCCTCCCCCCCCCCCCCCCCAAAAAAAACCCCCCCCCCCCCCCCCCCCCCCCCCCCCCCCCCCCCCCCCAAAAAAAACCCCCCCCCCCCCCCCCCCCCCCAGTTCCTACAGCACTTCCCTGGCACCAAAACACTCCTCAACCTCCAAGCCCTCGACCAAGCCCCCAGGGGGAGAAAAACACCCCAAACCAGAGCCCCCCCTCCCCCTCAGGCCTATAGTAACCTCTGCCCCCCTCCAGCGCTGCTGCCCCCAAACCAGAGCCCCCAGCCGGGGGCCCTCAACCCTCCCCTCCGCCCTTGTTTTCCCCAAAATTAACAAAATGAAGAAATTCAGACCCGCCCCCACCACGTGAGCTCCCCCAGAAGGAGAAAAGGGGCCCCAAAGCGAAGTCCCGCCCCCCCCGGCCCTGCCCCTCCCTCAAACAGCTCCCGTCGCCCCCCACTCAGCGCCCCCCTTCCATACATTAAGCCCCCCCTCAGCGCCCCCACCCCTTACCCTGCTCGGGGCCACGAGCTGCCACCGGGGGAGGCGGCTGCGCCGCCCGACGTGCCTCCCACTTCCGGGTTGCTGCCCCTTCCGCCTCGGCCAATAGCGAAGCACCGCCACGCCCGGGCACGCCGTAACAGCCCGTCATTACTTCCGCCCGGCCGCACCACCCTAGCACGTCAGGGGTGGCGTAGCGGCCATCTTGGAGGAGGGCGGAAGTGTGGCGTCATATAACAGGAGAACGTTAAGGCGCCTTAAACGGGCCACTCTCTCAGCAACATCTCTCGCCCAATAACGCCCTCACATTCCAAAGGGAAGGGGAGGGACATTACAGCCCTGCTTACCAATCCATCCCCTTCCCCGGGACACAGTGCACTGACCAACGTGCATTGATAAAATTTACTTTAGAAAGTGTTCTCATGGCAAATCTTTTTTCCCCCCTCCTTTTTTTCTCTTCTTCCTCCGAACTATATATTAAGCCCTATAGAAAAGCTCCCTCTGTAAAAGTTGAAATGGGCACCCGTGAAAATGTTTCTTGAAGGAGGTTTTGTGTCAGCATTCGTTCTCTATGCCCCTCATGGCCCAAGGCTAGTGCTTCAAAACCACATTTCTTGAAGAAGGTTTTGTGTCAGCGTTTGTTCTCTACGATGCCCCTCATGGCCCCAGGCCAGTGCTTCAAAACCTTACCTAAGGCTCAAGCTCCAACATGGGAGGTATAAAAGTCATCCAAAAAATAAAAATAAAAAGGAGATGTTTTAAGATTAAAACCCACTTTCCTCTGCAGTGAGATGCTGTTGAAGGTCAGGGCAAACCCTTTCATTAAATAAGGGAGACTTGAGACACAGCTTGTCCTGGGTGGAAGCACAGCCCTAGGATGGTTTTCCTTAGGGATAACATTCCCTAGGCCATCACGGGCTTCCTGCGCCGCCGCCTGCGCTTCTTGGCCGCGTGTTTTTCCTGCGGGAGATGGAAGCCGGGTTCCTGTGCTGGAAAATACAGTTCACGGTGCTCCTTGYTGCGAGGCACCGAATCTGCAGAGTCCCTGGGACGTGGGCGGCCAGGCCCCCCTTGCTGGGGTGCGAGCTCCTGGCGATGGGCGCTGTCCCTCTCGCTGTGCTTCTTGGCCGTGCCTGGGGCTCTGAAAGCAAAGTTAGACATAAATTTTATTTGGCCAAGTTGTGCAGAAGTCAAGCCCATTTTATCTCTCCCAGACTCTATGTTCTTGCATCTACTGTGTCATCTAGCAAAACCCAGTAACTTCCAAGCATGTAAAAAGGCCTGAGGATGATGGGGCAGGAGTCACCTCTCGAGTAGGAGGCTGTATCACACACAGGACATTTGCTGAACTCAGGATAAGGTTAATTTACCTGCATTCACTGTTCCCCTGATGTCTCTGTAGGGAAGGGAGAAACCTGAGAAGAGAAAGAAAAGTCGCTGCTTTGCTGTGAACAGAAAGCTCTAACTTGGCACCCAATTCAAAGCAACAACTCCCTGAAATATTTTACCATTTCAACCCCAACAAGAACTACCAAAACATTGTCAGGCCACTCTAGAAGAGGCAAAGTGCCTTCCCTGTGCTGCTGCAGACACAACGAACGCTTCCACCTCAAGACCCTAGACAAGTTTCAAGGATCTTTTTTTCCCCTCCCTGCAGCACTGGCAAGGAAACAGGTGCTGTCTTGCGCAGTGAGAAATGATTAAAAAACACATTTAAGTTTCTTAAAAGAGACCAGCTTTTGGTTTATCTCTTCATCTGAGTGGTACGCAGAGAAACAAAGAGCAAAAACCTACCGGGGCACTGCGAAGGGCAGATGTTCTGTGAGATGCAGGCGCTGCTCCGTCACCAGCTGCCTTTTAATACTTGGCATCGTGCCGCCTTTTCCTTTGAAGGGGTCTAAGCCCAAACACTTTACATCGCAGTTCCTAAACAGAAGCCTGTAAGTCTCGACTGGTGCTTCAAGCCATTCACCAAGCAACCACGACAGCACTTTTACATCCAAATCCATCCCCCTTGGCAAAGCTCCCCTACAAAGGGGACAGCAGCAGGCCTGCGAAGTCTGTGCAGAACATCTGTAAAAGTCTCTTTAATACCCCATCTTCTTCCTTATCCACCAGCCCAGGCTACCACAGGCAGGAGGAGTCAGGAAAGTTTAGCCTGTATCGGTCACTTGAACGCAAATTTATTTAGCACATGCACAACAGCAAGACTTACTTTTGCACAGATCTCTTTTGAAGATCTTCAATATAGTTCATTCTCTCTATAGGGTGCCCTCGAGCTCTGTTGAACACTGGAAAGAGAAAGAGAGAAGGGCTGAGTTTTAAAAACACTCCACATAAGGGAATCTCAGGGCTGTCTGGCTCTCAAAACTTTTCAGAAGGGTTTTAACCCCTTAAATCAGTGGCTCTAAACAGGTTAGTGAGGGCATCTACAATGTGACTCATTCACCGTGTGCCTCTCTCTGTATGGCAGCCTGTGATGGAGTTACAGGGCGACACTGTTTCACTCACAACTCGGTGCAAAAGCCCAAGACCCACTTGGCTCTGCCTACTTCTACACTCCCACATACAGCCCTAAAATCAACCCTTTATTTCAAACTTCAAGGAACCTCTCAGCACTTTCCTGCTTTTCCAGCTCCCCTTCTACACTGCAGAAAACATTAAGCACTATTTAGAGTGCTCAAGAGACATAGTTACTCCACTGGAGATAGCTCAAACCCTTTGACCATAAGCTGATGATAAACATCTGGCATCACAGCAAAGCAATGACACGTATACGTACACTCTATGGCAGCGTTTGGCTCCATTCCATCAACATCGATGAGGTACCTAAAGAGAGCAGCAAGAAAGCTCTAGTTATGGCATCAGCTACAGAAACATTGACAAGTTAGAGACAATTGATAAGGCTAAAAACATCGCAGGAAAGTTTTGAGATCTTCCACTTACATTCCAGAATGGAGTATCAGCACTTGGCTTGCTGAAATCAGGGATTCAAAGTGACCCCAAACCACCAACCTCGCCCAAAATTTATTTAAGTCCTATAAATTCATTTAAGTCACCAGGTTGGGATTACACAGGCCACCTAAATCAAGTTTTATGGTGCAATAAGGTTTCATTCTGGAGCCATATAAGACTGCTAATGCCACCACCTAACCCAGTCTAAGGGCAACTTACCTACAAACCAGGTAGCCAGTTCTGTTCAAGCCATGCGTGCAATGTACTCCAATAAGCTTATCTGCAACACACGGTAATTAGGTGATATTTTAGGTTCTCTTTTTCCATGACTCAACCAGGAAACGAGCCCGATCACAAAACCCCTGTAACCTCATCTGAATGTTCACAGAGCTCATTTATCAGCTACATAAAATGAAATTCTACTCGTTTCTGGAGTACAGACAGCTCAACGCTTACACAGCAGCCAAAAAGGAATCAGTATTTACAGGCAATATAGCAAGGAAATCACAAACTCCTCCGAAGTTCAACTCACTGCCAAGTTACCAGAGCCAGTAAGAATCTCTACCATGTAGGGAAGTCCTCACTTACCGTTATCTTTGTTGTCCCTCAAGAAGTTTTTTACAATACACTTGAACTGATAAATAATTTGGCTATTTGGTATTTCGTGGCCCATGGTCAAGATCTTGGAGTAGTGCAGCGTCGCTGGTAGCTCCTGCAAGACACAAAGGAACTCGGAAATTTCTGCAAAAAGCAGGATTTTGGCCAACTGAAAAAAAAAAAGGTGTATAACCTAGAAAAGGCAGAGCTTTTAGACCAAGTCTAGAAGAGCAGCAATGCCTTCTTAGATGAGAAAACTTCTGCTTTTGCTACCTGCTTAAACAGAGCGTCCCTTCCCCGAGGGCAAGGCAAGGACTGACCTCCGGCCCGTAGTAGCGAGTCGTGTAGGTCAGATCAATGATGAGCCCCAGCTCCTCCTTCTGCTCCCTGATCTTCTTAAGCAGATCCCGAGGTGAAAACCTCTCTTGGGGATGCAGATTCTGGTTGAAACTCTGAGAAGAAATGATGTTTAAAGGCACAGATGAAGTTCAAGAGCTCTGCAATGCGGGAGCAAAAGAGGTCCGAAACCTCCTAAAGATCAGCTCGGAAAACCAAATGATAAAGGTGACAACCAAGGAGGGACACGGACACAAAACTGACACCAAGTGCTGGACATTTACTGATGTAGGTTAGTTTCATTACAAATTAAGATGATACCTGGAACCAAAAGGAGTTTTAGCCTGCTTTTTGCTGCTCAGCCTGACTGCTGGGGAACAAACAGCACCAGGGCAGCTCCCAATGGAAGAGCCCACACTGAGCTTCGAGTTCCCCATTAAAACCCTCAAAAAAAAAGAAAAAAAAGTAGTTTTGGGCACTTCTAGGGTCACATTTGCCCACTGCAGCTCCCCAGCAGCTGCGTTGCAGCCCGACGCGGGGACTCACCTTCCTAAGCGGCACCTTGAAGGCGATGAAGCGGGTACCAGGCAGGCGTCGGCCCAGCGGCGCGTAGTCCGTCCACCTGGGCGCGAGCAGCCGTTATTGGGGCCTCGCGTCGTCCTCTGCCCGCTACCCCACCCAATCCGTTCAATTCCCCCCGCAGGGCGGCGGGACGGGACCCTGGCGGCAGCCACAGCTCCCGGAGCGACTAAGGGTGCAGGGGGGGGGCCCGGCGCGGCGCCGCTCACCTCTCCGGAACGCGTAGGCCCGGCATGACGGCGCCCACAACSGGTGGCCGCCACTGTGACTTCCGCTTCCGCGCGGCCGCCGTCGGGGAGTCCCGCGAGTCAAGACCACGCCCACACCCTGCACCTCCTTCGCAATTCCCGCCCCTAATAAAGACCACGCCCCGTTGGTCTAGGTCACGCCCCGGCTACGCCCCGCGGCGGCGGCCGCCCCGCGGCGCCCCCTGGCGGTTTCGCGGCGGCACCGGAGCGGCCTCGCTGCCGGAACCGGCACCGCCCGGACCAAGCGGGGCCGCCGGGAGCGGCCGCCTACAGCAGGCTCTGCCCCAGGCACGGCGCCCTCACTGTGTCCCTGTCCCGGCATCCCAGCACCAGTACTGGCATTCCCTGTGTACTGACCTGGCTGGTGCGTCCTGCTCTTGGCAGTACCGGTACTGGTACCGGTGTCCTCATCCCACACCAGAAGCGGCGTCACCACTCGGTCCCTGTATTGACATTCTGACCCAGTATCCTAGTGTCGCCATTCCTGGTACTATCATCCCACCTCATCCCACCATTGCCAGTACCAGCATCACTGGTACCCGCCCCATCCCAATACCAGGATCTCCAGCACTACCATCCCAGTGCCAGCACTGGGAAGGTTGGGACCCCCTGCGCCTACACTGAGCGGGAGGAGTCACTGGGGGAGACGGAGCCTGAAGCCCCTCGGAAATCCGGAACCCCGTTACTGGGAGACATGACCCCAAACAAACCCAACAGTTCAGAGTACTATGGGCACCAGGTACCAGACGGGATCTGCTGCTCCATGGCAGGTACGGAGCTGGAGAGGCTGGATGGCCAGACGCGTCTCCTTTTCCCACCTGGAATATTGCCGTTCCTCCCGATTTCCTTTGCAGAGCAACTCCCCAACGTGCTCCCCGCCGGCATGTCCCGCCTGAGCTTCCTGGCGGCGCCGCTGGGCCCGGCGTGGCTGCTGCCGCCAGGATGCCCGGAGCCGGACGGCATGCCTGCTCTTGCCTACCCGCTGGCTGCATATCCCTGCGCGCTGCCAGCCTGGGGGCTTCCTGCATCCCACGGGAGCCGCACGGCGCGCGCTGAGCCGCTCTACCCGGCCGGCACCTGTCTGCTGCAGCTCCCGGCACTGCCGGCGGCCGCCTCGCCAGGCGCCTGTCACCGCGACCTCATCCTGGTGCTCAAGCCTGCAGAGGCCACGCTGGGAGCCTCCGGCGCCACCATGGGAGCCCTCAATGTGGAGCCAGATGCCGGCAGCTCGAGTTGGCCGGGCTTGGGGCAAGTGTGGGATAAACTGGCACCTTTTCCCCACACGCCGCTTTGGGCAGCACCGGCTGCTGCCGAAAAGCGGATGCCGGAGCTGCCGGCCCTGCCGGAGTTGCCAGCACTGCCGGAGGCTTCCCTGACCGAGGAGCTGCCGGAGGCTGCCGTGGATGAGCTGCTGCTGCGGGAGCTGCAGGAGCCGCCACTTTTCCCCCTCGATGTCTCTGACATCAATGACCTCTTGTCTTGGATTGAATCCCTGGAAACCAGAGCTGCCAGCACCAGGGATCCCGCCGGCAAGATGGCATCACCAGCACCATCGGAGCTGGATGCAGCACCTTCCGACCCTGTGCAGCCGCCTGCACTGGAGTCTCCTGGTGCTACTCTGGACCCAGCAGCGGCAGCTCCGGATGCCCCTTGCAAGCGAGTGCCGAAGCCCAAAGTCAAAGTGGGTTTCCCAGATGCTGGATGCGCCAACCCCACTCCGCTGGCCAAGAAGCGGCGTCCGGTGCCCCATGGTGCATCCCACCATAAGGCTGGCCCGGAGCGCCGTCCACCTCCGAAGCAGCCAGGCGGCAAACCTGGCACTGATGGGGCTCCGGGCGGCAGCCCCAAGCCGGAGGACAAGCTGCCGCGGAAGAAGCTGAGCGGCCGGAGCTCGGTGTCGGCACCAGCACCAGCATCGGCGCGGGAGCCTTTTCAAGTACCCCGCAGCCACCTGGGCAAGCACATGCTGGAGTCCATCCGTGTTTTCCACGCGCTGGGCAAGAAAATCGCTGCCCAAGGGCCGGTGCATGGTGCCGCGCTGCCCAAAGCCACCCCAGTGGCCAACAAGGCTCGGGACGAAGCAGCTCCATCCTCATCCTTGTTCTCGTCGGCCATTGCGGAGCCGGGCAGCGTGAGGCCCACGTGGGTGCGTCACTCACCCACGGGTGGCTCCACGGCGCGTGAGCGGCCGCCGCGGCAGCCCTGGCCGCCACTGCCACTGGCCGCCATGGTGCCGTGCGTGGGGCCGTGGGCAGGTGGTGCAGCCAAGCCAGCGCCACTGGCCGAGCAGGAGGCGTCGCGGGCGCCAGCGCCACGGCAGCGCCTGGAGCGCGAGCGGCTCAAGTGGCTGGCGCAGCGGCAGCGCCAGCTCGCCGCCCAACACGGCCGCCTTGGCCGCCTCCAGTTCTTCGTGCAGCGTGAGCAGGACCTGGCCGTGGCGCAGAGCTACGGCTACGCCTGAGCCCCGCGCCGCCCCGCGTCCCCGCTCTGCCTGCCCTCCTGTCCCCCCGGGATTTGGTTATTAAAGCTGCAAATTGGCATCGCTGTCGTGCCCCACCACGTGCTCGCTGCCTGCAGGGCCCACCGGAGCTGCGGGGATTGCGGGATGCCCGGGAGCATCGGGAATGGGGCCACTGTGCTGCATCYGGGCCCGTTCATGTGCTGCACGCTTCATGGTGCACTCGCCTCTGGGGTTTTCCAGGGCTTCCAAGTTTTTCTGATGCCTCTGGACTTCTTCAGCCCTGAGGGATTTGTCCTGGGTTAGGGATTCTGCTCTGACCATGTGGATGCACTCTTGCTGTTTCCGCCACGCAGCAATGCTCCATGAGGATGCAAGCATCCTCAGCATCCCACCTGCATCCCCCTCCTCCTCCTCCTCCTCCTCCTCCTCCTTGGCGATATCCATGCCCAGCTCCCATCAGGAAATCCCCGCTGCCATTCTTTCCCTCACCAGCAAAGACAAGGAAGATGTTAGGAGGGAAGACAAAATCCCTTTTCCAGGCGGTCCCCACTACAGCAGGCTGGAAGCAGCGCACGGATGCGGGCGGCATTCCCAGGTGGCAGCCGGGCCGGGCCGGCTTGACTGGCCCCGTGGGAGCGCGGCTGCGCTGCCCTACCCGCTCTTCCCTCTAATTACCCCACGCTGGCGAGCAGGGGCTGGCCCCGGCACGCAGGCAATGCCGCCGGCTTCTGCGATCCCGCCCACCCAGTCTGGCAGGTTTCCCGCGGGAGAGGCGAGCGGGAGCTGGAGCYGGAGCCATGCGGGCAGCCGGGTGCCGGGCACCCGCTGCCGTGTTGCTGCTGCTGTGGGTGCTTGTGAGTGCCCAGCAGTGCCCATCGGGCACTCCCAGGGCCGTCCTGCGCTTCTCCGACACCCATGCCGACATCCGTGTGCCGGCCCTGCACCGGGTGCCCGGGGCGCTCGACCCCCTCTACCGCCTGGTTCGGCGCTGCCTGGACCTGGTGCAGCCCAACCCGCTGCCCACAGGTGAGATGGGTCCCGTCCACTGTCCGCCGCCCCATGGGGATGGAAGGGGGGTGGGGGGCATGTGCCGGCGCAGGGAACTCACGTGGCACCGTTTTCACCCTTGCAGAGCTGCTCCGGGCCGCTCTCAATGACCCGGCATCTGTGAGGACATCCCAGGTGAGTGGAAGCAGGGAGGATTCCCTTGGGAAGAGACAGAAGGAATGGGGGAAGATGGCATGTGTCAGAGCGCAGCAGACATTGGAGGAGAAGGACGGCGGGATGGTGCTCATGTGGCTACATGTCCTGGCGGATGGGTGCATGCCTTCCTGCATGGGTGCATGGCAGCCCGGATGGGTGCATCCTCTCCTGGATGGGTGAATGCTCTCCAGGATGGGTGCCCAATGTCTTGGACAAGCGCACGCTCTCCTGAATGGGTGTGCAATGCCCTAGATGGGTGCACACTGTCCTGGATAGGTGCATGCCGCCTGGAATGGCTGCATCCTCTCTTGGATGAGTGCATTGGATGTACAATATCCCAGATGGATGCACCATGTCCAGGGCGATGCATGCCACCTGAGATGGGTGCGCGCCATCCTGGACGGATGCCGGCCCTCCCAGAGGGATGCTGGCCACCTGGGCCATCCCCACGCGGGTCCTGCCGACCATGGCTCCACTGCCATGGGCTGTGTCCTGCCAGGTGCTGCACTATGAGCTGGGCTACGTGGYGGGTGCTACAGGTGCACTGCTCCTGGCGGTGGCCTTGCCAACCACCGGCATCTGTCTCTGCTACTGGCGGCACCGGCGGCGCTGCCGGGGGGGCCGCCTGCCACCCCCCCGCCGCTCGCCCACCTGCCACCGTCGCTGCCTCCTCGCTGGCCTCTCCGTCACTTCCCTCCTCAGCCTGTGAGTGCCCGGGTGGGGGGACACAGGCACCCATGGGACCCCCTGGGCACCCAGGGGACCCTCGAGCCACCTCTGGAACCCCTCCTCCCCGCTCATGGGTCATGTGTTTGTCCCCAATCCTGGCAGGGCCACTGTCATCTGCGCCTTCCTCACCAACCAGAGGGCAACAGAGCAGATGGGGCCGGGGCTGGGTGCCGTGCCCGCCACCCTGCGCACCCTGCGCCAGCACCTTGGGGCCATCCCCCAGGTAGGTGATGCTGCCGCTGTCCCCGGCGTCCCCGGGCACCAAGGGCCTGCAACGTCCTCCCTCCCCACTGCACTTTCCAACAGGACCTGGCACCGGGAGCCCCTTTCCCAGCTGGGGGCTGGGGCAATGCTTGACTTCCCCCTGGGAAAGCCGGAATTCCCTCCCGGAGCGGTTTGGGAAGTGGAGCAGCTTCATTAAGGCGCCACTTTGCATGGCGGCGCCGGCTCCTCTGCAGCGCTCCGGGGTGGCTACTCTGGGCTCCGTACATCCCACAAAGCCTCTGCCACCCACAGCACTCCTGAGTCCAGCTGTGTTCCCGTCGGGATGCATGGCAGTGCCCGGACTTTCCTCCCCATGTTTTCCACAGGGGGTGCACATGGTGGTGGAGCAATTCCAGGTCGCCCGGCAACAGATCCTCACTGACCTGGCCCGTGAGTAGCCGCATCCTGGCAATGCTGCCCATTCCAGAAACTGGGACTTTTGGGGGGCAATGGAGCATCCTGGGGGACTCACAGCGTCCTGGGGGCTTTGCAGACATGAGCCGGAGCGTGGGGGTCTCTATCCACTCACAACTGAAGGCAACGACCTATGCAGTGCTGGCCGAGCTGCGGGACCGGGCAGAAGGTAGCGGCGAGCCGCAGAGTGCGGAAAGCTCATGAGGAATGTGGGAAGCTTGGAGAGAATGTGGGAAGCTCATGAAGAATGTGGGAAGCTCGTGGAGATGGTGGGAAGATTGTGGAGAGTGTGGGAAGTTCATGAAGAATGTGGAAAGCTTGCAGAGGGCTTAGGTAGCTCATGGAAAGCATGGAAAACTCATGGAGGGTACGGGAAGTTTGTGGAGGCTGCGGGAAGCTTGTGGGGGAAATGGGAAGTGCATGGAGGGTGCCGGAAGCTCTTGAGGGGCGAGAAGTCCACAGAGGGTGCGGGAAGCTCGTGCGGGACATGGGAAGTGCACCCTTGCGGGAAGGTGGCGGGTGGCTCCAGCGTCGCAGAGCGCTGGAGCTGCTTCTCTTGGGCAGAGCTGCGGGCCTCGCTGTGGCACCTGCAGATGGCAGAGCGCATGGTCCGGGGGCTGGCAGCGGCGCGGGCCCGCATGGAGCCGGAGCTGCGTGAGCGCCGGGAACGCACCGCTGCGCTGTTGGACGACCCACGTTGCACCTCCTGTGCCAGCGCCCTGGGCCAGGCCCACAGCCTGCAGCCTGGCGCCGACTACAGCCAGGTGGGAATGGTTGGCGGGCGGTGTGGCAGGAAGAGGTGGCCATCCCGGCGCCGTCCAGCTCCTTTTTGCGCTGCAGGTGCCGTCGCTGGAGCGGATGCTGCAGGCACTTGCTGGGCTCCCACGGAGCGACTTGGAAGGGAGCATTGGGCAGGTGGAGTGCAGGCGGCATGGGTGGGAGCGCAGGAGGTGCCACCAGCTGCCCCACGGTGCTTCCCGTCTCCTCGCAGGCCAACGGCACCTTCAATGCCATCCCCGAGCTGGCTGTGGAGAGGATGGCGCCGCTGGTGCAGGGTGAGTGGGGAGGCTCTGCCTGGGGTTGCTCCGTTGTAGGGGTGCATGGATGCTCCAGCATAGGGATGCTCCAGCACAGGCATGCTCCTGCACAGGGATGCTCCTGCACAGATGCTCTGGTCTAGGGATGCAGGAGCAAGAGGATGCTCCAGTGCAGGGATGAAGCAGTTCAGATACGCTCCAGCACAAGGATTTTCCCATATGGGATTTCTCCCATGTGGGGATGCTCTGGTGCAGGGATGCAGGACTGTGAGGCTGCTCCAGCACAGGGATGCTTGGGCATGGGAATGTAGTGATGCAGGGATACTCTCATGCAGGGATATTCTTGCATGGGGATGCAGGAGCACAGGGATGCTCCAGCATGGGGATTCAGCACTGCAAGGATGTTCAAGCATAGGGATGCAGCAGAGCTGGACACAGGAACAGCACCACTCCTCGGTGCATTGGCCCCTTGCAGAGCTGCGTGCCGAGATGGCGGAGGCTGCAGCGAAGGTTCAGGATGTGGCTGCTGGCTTCCCGACAGCTGACTACACGCACCCACTGAGCGAGGCGCTGCGGGTGGCTGAGGAGCAGAGCCAACCCTTCCTGCAGGCGACTGCGCGCTGGGAAGGCTACAGGTGACAGCAGCGCCGAGGCCACGCGGTGGCTGCGCGGTAGTCGTGGTGTCACCGAGCCATCCCACTCCCAGGTGGGTGGTCGGCACGGCGCTCTGCTCCGTCGTGCTGCTCATCGGGCTGTGCCACGCGGCCGGCGTCATGCTGGGCACCCACGGGCTCCACAGACGCCATGATCCCGCTGACTACGAGTGCTGTGCTGAGGCCGGCGCCCGGCTGCTYGTGGTGTAGGTACCATTGTGGCCACGGGACAGGATTGGGGAGTGATTCCCAGTCACCAGTGGGGCCTTTTGCAGCAGTTGGGAGAGCAATTTGCAGTGATTGTGGGGCAATTTGCAGTGATCATGGAGGCAATTTGCAGTGGTGGAGCAGCAGTTTGCAGTGGTCTGAGGGGTGTTGTGCAGTGGCTGGGGAGGGTGGTGCAACTAGCAGCAGCTGGAGGGGGGTTATTTGCAATGGTCATGGGACTCCTGCAGTTGTCCCGGGGCATTTTGCAGCATCTGGGATTGGGGGGGGTACAATTTGCAATAGTCCCAGGGGTATTTTGCAGCATCTGAGTCACAATTTGCAAAGGTCATGGGACTAATTGCAACGGTTCTTGCAATGACCTTGCAAGGGGGCTTTTCCTTGGTGGATGCAGGACACAGGGAGGGGAAGGAGGGGATGCCACTAGCTTTGCCTCCCCAGTGGCGCAGCCCTGGCCTTCCTCGCCTCGACCCTCCTCAGCCTCCTGGTTTCTGTCACCTTCCTGCTGGGGGGCAACGTGCAGACGCTGCTCTGCAGGAGCTGGGCCAGCCACGAGCTCTACAAGGTTCCATGTCCTTCCCCCCACGATATCCTCATATCCCGCCGCTGCTCTACGGAATGCTCAGAGGAGGGCGGGACTTGCAGGGAGACGAAGGTTCCTCATGCTCCTCATCCTCCCCGCAGTTCTTGGACACCCCTGGGAACCTGCCGCCCTCACTGAACCTCAGCCAGCGGCTCAACCTCCGCAGCGGCTACAACCTCAGCACCGCTTACCAGTGAGCCCCCCTGCCTGCAGCCCCCACATTTGCAACCCAAATTGCAATCCCATTCGCAGTCCCCTTTGGCAACTCCATATTTGCAAACCRTCTTTGCAGCTACCCTTTGCAATCTTCCCATTTGCAGCCCCATATTTCAGCCCTATATTTGCGGGTTCCATTTGTAACCCCTTTTGCAGCCCCTTTTTGCAATACCAAATTTGCAGCCCCATATTTGCAGACACCATTTGTGACTCCCCTTTGCAGCCCCACATTTGCAACCCCCCCTTTGGAACCTCATTAGCAGCTCTATTTGCAGACCCCTTTTGCAACCCCATATTTGCAACCCCCTTTGCAGCCCCATTTGCACCTCTATTGCACTCCCATATTTGCAGCCTCCAGTTGCAGCCCCAGTGTCTCCCACTTTGCCGGCGGCTGCAGTTCCCCTTTTTCTCCTGGACAGTGAGTGCCGGGGCGGCGCGGGGCTCTGGGAGGTGCTGCAGCTTGCCACCTCCTACGACCTGGACCAGCAGCTCCAAGTCTCCAAGGTGAGCAGGATGCACCCAGATACACACATGTATATATTTTTTTATATATATATATATATATATTTTTTTTTTTTTCTGAGCTGCAGCCCAAGCTGACACCCTGGCTGCTCTGCAGTTTGCAGGCACCTTCCAGAAGCGCTTGGACAACTTCAGCACCCGCCTAGGAGATGTGCAGCTGCTGCACCCGGAGGTCAGGAGGGACCTGGAGACCTTTGCCCACTCCGGTGTTGACCGTGTGGACTATGGGCGCTTCCAAGAGGAGGTGGGAGCATGCCAGAGCACGCATTGCATCCCATCCTGTCCCATCAACCCTATCCATCTGTACTATCCCAACCTGTCCAGTCTCATCCTACCCCATCCATCCCATCCCATCCCATCCATCCTGTTCCATCCCAGCCCATCCTATCCATCCCACCCCACCCCAGCCCACCGCACTCATCCCTATGCGCCTATTGCTCTCCACGCTGTTCCTGCAGATGCGGACGCCACTGGTGAGGAGCAGTCTGGGTGACCTGGCTGCGAGGCTGCAGGGGCTGCAGCGGGTGCAGGTGAGGGTGTGAGGGCAGCGGGGCTGCYGTCCCCCCCACCCCCACTGATGTCCCCACCGATGTCCCCACCATGCGCAGAGGAACAGCACGGTGGCGGCACGCTTGGCGGCTGAGGCGCGGGCACTGTGGCAGATGCACAACCACACGGTGCAGGAGCAGGAGGCCTTGGTGGTGAGTCCCCACTGAGGATGTCAGTGGGGTGGCTGTGTCCCCGCCATGGCACTGGACTCAGAGGTGTCCATCCCACAGGCAAAGCTGGGCAAGAGCATTCGGTTCCTTGCAGTGCTGGCGCCCCAGCTGCAGGTACTTGTGGGATCCCTGAGGGGCTGCACACCCCAAATTCAGTTACTCTGGGGAAAAGAGCCGGGAAAATGCTCTCCTGGATAGATTCCCCACTGCAGAGCAGCCCCTACCACAACTTGCAACCCCACCTTGTGCATGCAACTCCCCCTGCAGCATGCAACCCCCGCACAGCATGCAACCCTCTTTGCAGCATACAACCCCCCAGTGCATGCAACCCTTCCCTGCAGTATGCAACCCCTCCACAGCATGCACCCCCTGCAGCATGCATCCTTTCCAGAGCACACAACCCCTCCCAATATCCATCCCCCCTGCATTATGCAAGACTCCCCCCAGCATGCAAAGCCCCCAGAGATGCCCTCCCTTGCCCCTTGCCCCCTGGCTAATGGCCAGCCCTGCACCATCCCACCCCTCCATCCACTGGAGTGCCCCAGAAGTGCCGGGCTGCTGATCCCGCCATCCTGCTCCCAGGCACGGGTGAACAGGACGCTGGCAGTGGCGGCTGTGGCAGAGGCGACGCTCCCGGCACAAGCGCAGCGGCTGCTGCGGCAGGTGAGCGGGGACAGGAAAGTGGGGCAGCCGCAGGGACGGGCATAGATGCGAGGATGTGTGGCACCCCTCGGCGCCGGACGCTCTTCCCGCAGGAGCTCGCCTGCTTTGCCAGGAAGGAGCTGCGCCACTTCTCCCAGTACCTGCACTGGCTCGGGCAGACGGTAGGTCGCGGCTCTGGGCTCTCCCTTGGGATCATCCCACGGGAAGTCTGGGCCCAGCTCCTGGCGCTGGGGTTGCGAGAGTGCTGCTTGCCTGGCAGCTCCGGGAGGACGTGGCCTCGTGCCAGCCGCTGGCCACGGCACTGGATAACGGCCGTGTGATCCTGTGCGACCGCATTGCTGACCCCTGGGTAAGGCTGGTGCCGGTGGAGAGGCCATAGTGGCGGGAGCGGTGGGAGCGCAGGTGGCCACGCGCTCGGCTCTGCCCCCGTTGCAGAATGCTGCCTGGTTCAGCCTGGGCTGCTGCACCCTCTGCCTTGTGCCCGGCATCGTCCTTGCCCTCTGCCTCGCCAAGTACTTCCGACCCCTCCGCAACCGGCTCATGTAGGCGAGCACCTATGTGGCACCTTTTCGCCTCCCTCTATCCCCTCCTATCCCTTCCTGTCATCTCCCATTCTATCGTATCCCATCCCTTCCCCTCCTGTCCCTTCCCATCCTCTCCCATCCCATCCCATCCTACCCCATTCCATTCCATTCCATTCCATTCCATTCCATTCCATTCCATCCCTTCTTATCCCATATATCCATGCCATCCCTTCCTATCCCTTCCCATCCCATCCCATCCCTTCCCTTCCCATTCCCTTCCCATTCCATTCCCATTCCATTCCATTCCGTCCCTTCCTATCCCATCCATTCATCCCATCCCATCCCATCCCATCCCATCCCATCCCATCCCATCCCATCCCAGGCATCCTATCCCGTCCCATCCCATCTGTCCCATCCCATCCCTTCCCATCCCATCTCTTCCTATTCTATTCCCATTCCATTCCATTCCATTCCATTCCATTCCATTCCATTTCATCCTTTCCTATCCCATCCATCCATCCATCCATCCCATCCCATTCCATCCCATCCCCTCCCATCCCATCTGTCCCATCCCATCCCACGCATCCTATCCCCCCCATCCCATCTGTGCCATCCCATCCCATTCCATCCCATCCCATGCCTCCCCACTCCGGTCCTCCATTCACTCCTATCCCACCATCTCCCTCATGCGGCAGCTCCACGGGCTCGGAGGAGACCTGTCCCTTCCATATCCCCCGCGTCACCGCACTCAAGCTCTAGGAGCGTGGAGCTGAGACCCAAACTGCTCGTCACACCTCCCAGGAGCTCCGCCCAGCTGCTGGGGCCAGAGCACTCGGAGCTCTATGGGAGCCGGATCCGCATGGAAAGGGGGGAAAAGGGGCAGTTTAGGGCTCCTGCTGGGGTTCCCAAGTGCCTGGGGTCTGGGGGGACTCCAGGGCCAGGGAAGGACCCTGGATCTGGGACCTTTCAGTGGCTCCAGAGCTGGGGGCTCCGGGAGCTGGGAATCCTCAGCCCTCTCCCTGGGGCTCCCGCCCAGCCCTTTACATGCCTCACTCCCCTGACAGTCTTTTCATGCCCCCGCCACATCCTTCCCAGTGCCCGGGACCAGGCAGCTCTGCTTCTCCAAGTGGCAAATCCCAAGGGAAGGGGAGCTGCCTCCTGGCCACAATCCACCGCTTTGTATTTGCTGGATGAAGAAAAAACATTAATAAAATATATATTAAAAAAAAAAAAAAAAAAAAAGAAATGACATGTACTGCTCATTGGCAGGCACCTCTTTCCATCCCCATTCCCCCTCCCAAATTTCTGTGGTGCCAGAATTCCCTGAAGGAGGAATGCCTGCCTTGTCTGCAGCCAAAGGGCATTTCCCTTGGGCCCACAGAACAGGGGCCTGGCAATTTGGTGCAGATTATTTTATTTCTAAATCGATAATAAAGAAGTAAAATTCTTAGTATGTAATTGAAAAAATGAATAATTTAATATTCTTAAATAAATAAAACCATAGGCTGCACAGGATGTAAAAGAGTTGGACGATTATCCAAATGTCGCAACAATTCTTGGATAAAAAGATACAGGAGAGGTTTTCAAGCCTTTACACCCAATTCTGGACTAACAAGCAGTGGGATTTGGGGGGAAAACACTCAAAAATATTTACAAGTGCCCAAAATGTCCCGTGTATTTTACTCCATTGTATTTCCATTGCACTCCCTCTTCCTTGCCTGGAGTTGGAAATATTGTGAGCATGAGCAGCCACTCCTGCAGGGTTATAGCAAACTGCCAAGAAATCACCCGAAAGTTTGCTTGAACTGCATAACACCTGGAAAAAAAATAATTGAGAAAAATAAATAAAGGGACAAGCTGGATAATGATTCAATACTCTGAGTAAGGTCATGTTTGATGACTAACATCTCATTCCTCCCCAAAAACGTGATAGAAAAGTGCACTGGGAAATGTTGCCCCGGGCAAGATCAACTCCTCACCATGCCAGAATAACTGCAGAGCTCTCAAATGCCACCGGCCCGAGGAAAAACCTTTTTCCAAGCCGATTTCTTGTGTATTTAAAGTGGGTGAGTGAAAGCATTGCTGACTTTGGAGTTGGTACCCACCCAGTGCTGTGGTTGCTGTGGCAACGCTGGGAGGATGCCATGTCCATAGCAACAGGGCATGAGCCTCAGTTCCGCCGGGATGCAGGGCGCTCCGGTGGGAAAGGCTGATGATTCCCAGCTCTGGCAGCTGCCTTAAAAAAGCCCAACCCTTAATTTGTTGCTTGGATGTACGGAAAACATGGCTGTGGCTCCTGGATGCACCTGGAGTCTTTGCCAGATGTGTGGCAAGGCACACAGCTGGCCAAGAGGGAGATCAGTCCCAATATTTTAAAAAATATTTAAAATATTATGAATTATAAATATATAAATAAAAAAGCTAGGAAAAAATCCGACCAGCTTGTCCCAGAACACATGCGTCTTCCCAAAACCCATTCTTCCCTGCATATTCCAATTGAATCATGTGTAAAAAAATAAACAGAAAGAGCAAGAATGAGTCCATGCCTTTGGGGATCCCTTTGCCATGTGGACACAGGGGAAAACCTGAGTGGAATTGTGTCCGGCAGCTGGCATAAGAGGCTTTGCTGGAGCATTTTGGCATCTTGTCCTCAATGGGATTTAGAAACCAGGTCACAACACGTCGCAGCGCGCTTGGCTTCTGCTGGAATAAACAAGGTGCAGCCCGAGAATGAGACACAGAATAGAGAAAAGGATAACACTGCATTTTTCCCTGCCTTTTATTTTTGCCGTCTCGAACCTGGCTCATTCCAACCTATCCTTTGCTCTTTTTAATTTTTTTTTTCCTCATTAAAACTTGCCCTGTGCTGGGACATGAATGAGGTGGCAGTGATTCATGTGGCAAGCGCAGCACTGGGTGTCATGTGCCCTCCCGCTTCCCTCTCCGCAGGGACGACGGGTTAAAAATAACTGGGATAGGGTGAAGGAAAACCTCTGGATGAGTCACTCGACAAGCCCTGCCATGGACAGAAATATCCAAGTTTTGCCTTTCCTATAAGGAATCTAGCTGGCAGGGCTTGGAAGGTGGCATATGGCCTTAAAGGAGCTGAAATACTGCCAGAATAAAAGAGAGAGAAAGCAAGAGAAAAGTTATTGATACCAAAGGGCATAATGTTCCCTTTCTCCGAGGGAATAAGGCTCTTCCCAGGCTCCTTTTCTTGGACACAGTAGGGAATTGTTCTCTGGGGAGGCCCTTCYTCTGCTGCTGCTTCCCATTCCTGTGTAAATTCATCATGTTCTTGCTGGCCCCAGAACTCCCAACCCACCCCAAGAAGGGCTTCAAAGCCCTTTTATTTATATTTTACGATTTTTTTTTATATTTTATGATATTCTATGATGTTTTATAGAGGGATATTTTTCACATTGCAGTGGCTTCTCCTTACAAATTTGCTGGAAATGCAGTGGAAAAAATACAACTTGGCTCGGTGCTTCCTCCTCTCAAAGACTCCGGCTCCCTTCCAACACTCAGATTTTCCCTCCTCTGGTGACTCTTTTCCCACACAGCTTTGGCTTCGACACATTTTTCCTAGAAATTTTGCAACCTAACATGACATCAAGGGCAATACTGAGCCCCATCAGCATCAGGATTTTTTTAAGCCTCATTTAAAGCCTCCTTTTCCCTGTTCTGGTGCTTGYGTAACAGGTGAAGCGACGGAGCCACTATAGCCGTACAGGAATTGCTGGCACTCCTGTGCTATTCTGCCTGCTTGTGCAACAGCCTATTTTCTGTCTTGCTCATGGTCCAGGACACATTGTCAGGGCTGCAATTTTTTACTAAAGGAACAAGAGCAAAATCTGTTTTCTTAGCTTTCATGGCCATGGAATAAAAATAATAATAATAATAAAAATATTTTTTAAAAGTTGGCTAATAGCTCAAGAAGTTATGAAGAAGCACCAAAATAATTTATTTAAGATACAGCAAGAGCTCAAATGGGATAGGAGCAACTTCTAATGCAAAGGTTTATTTGGCCTTCCGTGTACTCCAGGCAAATATATGCTTCTCTCCCAAGAAAAAAAAGGCTTTAAAAGCCCTGGCATCTCTCCAGCATCCCATAGGATCTTCTAATTTGCTTCTGGGAAGCTTTTTCCCATTAAATGCATTATAAAAGCCCCCAAATAAATGTCAGCAGGAGCTCATGCCGCATGGGAGGGAATTTTTCTCCTCCAGAGGGAGAGGCAGTGAGACTGGAAAACCAGCTCTATGCTTTTTTCAGAATGCATTTGATTCCCTGCAGAATTCCTATTTTGTGAGACGAGGATCCTCCCGTGGGTCGGGCCGCGGGGCAGCGCCCGGGGGCGGCCCGGGGCCGGGCTCCGCAGCTCCTCCCTCTCCCTATTTACGGGCGGGCGCAGCTGCGGCTACGGCAGCGGCGACGGTGACAGCGACACCGGGCGCGGGCTCCGGGCGCGGCGGTGAGCGGGGCGCGGGCGGGGCTCGGGCAGCGCCACCAAATCCCGACCCGGGCCGCTCTTCCCTCCCCGCAGCGAAGCGGGGCCTACAAATAGGGAGGGTAGCGGCGGGGCTGCTGGTGTAATCCCGATTAATTCGGAGATTTAATAGCGGGGGACCCCATTTAACCACATTAAAATGGAGGGGCTTTTTGGGTCGCAGTTTGGGGTTTTTTTTGCACCTAACACTGGCTCCGCATCCCGCACGGAGCTCCTCCCGCGGCGCAAGCGGCCCCCGATCACGTTTTCTAACTCCGCTCCCTCGCTTTAGGGAGGAAAAGGTGTTTATTATCATTATGATTATTATTATTTTCCTTCCTAATGCAGCCCCCCGGCGGCCGCCCCCGGGGGATCCGTGCGCTGCGGCGGGGCCGGGGCGGGTCCCGGCGCTGTCACCGCCTCCATTTTCTACCTTTCTGGGGCCAGGAGCCCCTCGGGATAAGGCGGGGGGGGACACTGGGGCACGTGTCCGTGTGGCTCCCCCTGCCGCGTCGCTGACACGCGTGTGGTCTCCCCGCAGGCCGCCCCGGAGCAGGGACACGGACACCTCTGGCATCTGGCACCCTGCCACCCAGGTAAGTGGGTCCCCGACCTCCAACGCTCCCAGGGATTACTTTAATTATTATCATTTTTTACTATAATTTTTATTAAAAAGACAGTATTTTTATCATTTTCTAAAATACTGTTATGATTATTATTTTCATATATTTTTAATTATTTTTGTGATGATGATGATGATGCCTGCCCAGCGGAGCGGCCATACCACTCTCCTCCATCATCCAGCTCGCAGCGAAGGCGGCTGCGCCTCTGCCCCCGCACTGAGACGCTCTTGTTGTGCTTTTAATTTCCACTCGCTCTTAATTTCCGCCCGCTGCATCGCTGCTCGCTCTGGGAAGTCACGTGGGAAGCCTTTCCCAACCGCCCCCCAAACTTAACCCCTCCTGGAGTATCCCTGGAGCTTTCACCCTGCCACATTTCTGGCTCTCGGGGTTATTTTTAACCCATTGCAGGAGGCGCTGTGGTTATTTATCCCCCTATGCTGTTTGTGCACTGGAGAGGATATTTAAGCCTCTTGTGCACTTACGTAACCCGGCAGCACGGGGAAAACAAATCCTGCTTGGAAGGTAGATGCTCCAAGACCTTCGAGTGCCTGCAGTCCAGGTGACAGAGTGGCTCAGGTTATTTTAACCCAATTCGCTCCATTTGCCAAAACCCAGTTTGGGTTTTCCTAGTGCCACTGCATGGCCCTTTCTAGCATGGGATAGGGGAGCTAAATCCCTCCTGGAATCGCTGCTGTGCAAGTCCTGGCTCTGGCATGCCAGAAAACGCATCCCACCACCAACCCACATCCATAGGAGCTGTTGCATCCCAGTCTTGTCTGGGTCCTGGTGCGGCATGGGGCGTTTCCCACTCTATTTTCCCGAGCTTAATTGCTCCATGCTGGAACGGGAGCCACTTGGAGCCAAGTGCCGGGAAATGCTCTTGGCTGTGCCAAGGCGGGTGCTTCCCAGGGGGCCTGCACTGCCATCCCGACCCATTCAGCTCCGGCCTTTCCGCCTGCCACACCGCAGCTCCAGCACAGTCGAGCATGCCCGGGAATGTGTCGCCTCAGCCTCATTTATTCTGCCTGATTTGACAAATTTGGGTTAATTAGGGCATTTGGGGAGCTTGCAAGGAGGCCAAGGGCTTCCCAGTTGGTGCTTTTCTTCCCCTGCTGCAAATCACAGCTATTGGAGGAACCGGCATCCCTGTATAGGGCTGGGTGTATAGGGGCACATGGGGGTATGTGTGGGGCATAGGGGTGCAGGGGGCTGCATTTGATGATTTTTGGGAATATTGACGTGGGTCTGTGAGCTGAGCCATCCCCCTGCTTGTGTCCCCGCAGCCGTTGCGCCATGGCCAGGCTCCTGGTGCTGCTCCTGCTCTTCGGCCTCGGCCCTAACGTCTGCCTCGCCAAGAAGGGCAAGGGCAAGCCGGGCGGCTGGGGCGCTGGGCGCCAGCCCAGCTACCCCCGCCAGCCCAGCTACCCCCACAACCCCGGCTACCCCCACAACCCCGGCTACCCCCACAACCCTGGCTACCCCCACAACCCCGGCTGGGGACAGGGCTACAACCCGCCGAGCGGGGGCGGCTACCACAACCAGAAGCCCTGGAAGCCGCCGAAGGCCAAGACCAACCTGAAGCACGTGGCCGGCGCGGCGGCGGCGGGCGCCGTGGTGGGTGGCCTGGGCGGCTACGTCATGGGCCGCGCCATGTCGGGGATGCATTATCACTTTGAYAGCCCCGACGAGTACCGCTGGTGGAACGAGAACGCGGGCCGCTACCCCAACCGCGTCTACTACCGCGACTACAGTGGCCCCGTGACGCAAGACGCCTTCGTGGCCGACTGCTTCAACATCACTGTAACCGAGTACAACATCGGCCCCACTGCCAAGAAGGGCAACGCCTCGGAGGCCGGGGCGGATGGCGGCAACAAGACGGAGAGTGAGATGGAGACCAAGGTGATGACGAGCGTGATCCGGGAGATGTGCGTGCAGCAGTACCGCGAGTACCGCCTGGCCTCAGGCGGGCGGCCTCACCTGGCCGCGGCCTTGCCCCAGCTGCTGGTCCTCCTTGCCGTCCTCCTCGCCATGCCGTGAGGCAGCCGCTCGGCCCAGCRGCCTCTCCTCCTTGCTTGTGTCTGTCCTTGGTGAAGTACCGTGAGATCCGTTAGCACTAACGAGCACTGAWAACGTCTTGGAGGCGCCAGGCGGACGTCGTAGACACTCGAGATGCCAGTAGTCCTCCTCCGAAGCTCTTTCTGGTTGTCTCCATGGAAGCTCTGCATCTGCATACTGTTCAGGGCCAAAAGTCAATGGGATGCAAGTTCAAGGTGAAATTTTAATTAGTGGTCCTCTTCTAAAGCTGTTCCTCTTTATCTCCTTGGAGGTTTTACGTACCATTCATGGCCAAAAAGCCAACGGGATGCAAATTTGGGATGCAATTTTAGTTAATGATCTTCCAAAGCTGTTCCTAGTTATCTCCATGGAGGCTCTACACAACATTCATGGCCAAAAGTCCACAGGTTCAAGTTTAAGATACAATTTTAGTTAGTGGTCCTCTCCTAAAGCTGTTCTGGGCAATATCCATGGAGACTCTACAAATCATTCAGGGCCACAAGTAAACAGGACTCAGGTTTAGGATGCAATTTTAATTAGTGTTCCTCTTCCAAATCATCCCCAGTTATCTCCATGGAGACTTCACGAACCATTCACAGCCAAAAGTCAGCTGGATGAAAACTTAAGATGCGATTTTAGCTAGTGGTCTTGTCCCAAAGCTATTCCCAGTAATTTCCATGGAGGCTCTACAAACAACGTGGCAGTGAAAGTCAATGGGACTCAAGTTTAGGCAAGCTTCACTCCGGATTCACTCTCGTGCCTCGTTTGTCCATGTCGGCGCAAGGCGATGGCCAGTTAGGGAGGCAGACACAGGAGGAAGGGGCCTTCAGCCTGCGTTGTCCTCTTCCTCAGAGTGCCGTGGGAAATCCTCTTTGCTAACAGGCGACCTTTTAGCTAATCTGCTTACTATCAGCGATGCTAAAATACCCTTGCCCGGGAACCGGTTTCGAGCATCACTCTGGGTACTGGTGTGCCACACCGCTGGTTTTGGATGGAAGAAGGCAAGGATGAACAGAAGACTCTCAGATTGCAAAGTCACAAGCYGTCCTTTCACCTTTTGCAGGCTGATTCCCCCCAAAACCACCTCCCGCATGTGCACAGGAACCAGCCCCGCTCCTTGCTTTGGATTCCAGGAGATGGGAAAAACATCAGGATGCTGGAAGACCACCTTTTGCAAGCAATCTGTTGGCTATGCGGTGCTCCAGCTCCTCTGGCTAATGCAAAGGGCCTGTACATAGCCTGTAGCTATATGTACATCTTGACGTAAAGCCGGCAAGTACCTAATATATATCGTGTATTTTTATTATATTTCTTTTTGCAAAGCACTGGATGACACCAAAACCGCCCTAAGCCCTTTTTGCTTCAGTGTAAGCTCAATGGATATTTATAAATACATAGATATATATATATTGTATAGAAATCTTGGAGGACCTCCACCCATAGAAGCAGGACTTTGTGATAGGGGAACGTTTTGTACACTTGTTAATGGTGCGCGTAACCAGAGTTTACGTCCTGGTACTTTTATAAATGTTCAGTGTCTGGTTAATATTAAAATAAGCAAAGCAAAGGCGCCAGTCAAGCTCCGTCACGTGGCTTTTTCATAACCTTTACACCCTTTTTTAGCCCCTTAAATCACCTTGGCCCAAGCAGCGGCTCTATCCCGGGATCATCCAAGTATTTTCTTTTTTTTGGTGTGTATATATATAATAAGAAATAAAAACAATACAATAGTTAGGGAAAAGGGTTTCTTCTCCACACACAACCCATTCCTACTGCATTTTGCGTACAAACTTCATTTTTTTGGCCCATAAATGTGTTCTAGTGCTTGCCACTTCAGTTGCAACGCATGCAAAGTCCCGATTAACTCTACAAGAAACTTAAAACTCCCACGCAAAAGCAGCATCATTGCTCTTTTTTTGAATAGAATAACTTAATATGTCATTTAGAATAAATAACTTTTCTAGTGGTAAATGCCCTTGGGGATTATCCCTGGTCGCAAGCGGTTCTCTTGGAAACCCAACGGGTGCAAGATGGATGTCAGATGCGGAGCTCCCTTATGAGATATAAATAAGGCAGTGACCTATATGGCTTTGAGGGGGGACAAGGGGCTTTTTTTTCCTGTTTTTAAAGGGCAAAAAGGGAAATGGGAAATTAGAAAAAAGCCATGAGCAGCCCCATCCGTCTGGTGGCGACAGTTGAAGTTGTTCATTAACCAGTGATGGAAAAACAAGCTGCACAGGGCTCCTTTCCAAAATGAGGTTGTGGAAAAAAGGAGGGGAAAAAAAATTGAAAAATTTGTGCAATGGCTTTTTTATCCCGCTCCAATTTGGTATGTGGACATTTAGCGTTTAGTGCAAAGTGCAGGGAAAGGACATGGCCACTTCCTGCATTTGCAAAAGGCACCTGGTACAAGGGAAACTGCAACCGAGCAAGCCCCGGGGTGGGGGGGGGTGGGGGGGGTGGGGGGGAGTACACGCTGAGGGGGCTAAAATAGAAGGAATATGCCCCAAAATCACAAATGCATCAGCGGAGGGAGCCCAGAGCCGCTTTGCAAGCGGTGGGAGGAAATCTCCATGCAGCATATCCAAGAAGGGAGCGCGCGTGGGCAACAGCTCCATCTCCTGTCCGAGCCGCCGCCGTGGCGCTGCCAAAGGCGGCTCTCACCCTGCTTGCTTCCTCCTTGCTCACTCGGTGCCCCCACATTTCCAGAGTTGCTCTTGGGCCCTGGGATGCTTTCCAGTGCAAACGGAGGAGGAAAGCAGCATGCATGAGATTTTTGGGGCTAAACCTGACAAATGGGGAGGATGAAACGTCCTGCCTCCGCTCCCTTAGGATGCCTCCCAGCTGGATTCCTCCCTCTTTTCTGCATCTGCTGCTGGGGTTGGATTGCAGATAGCCAGATAYTGCATGAAAGCTTGGCATGAATTACAAGCCAGGGATATCTTAGGGAAAAATGGGAAAAACACTAACTGAAGAGGAATACATTCCACTCATGGAAAGCTGGGCCCAAAATTGCAAACAGGCTCAAAAAGCAAATGCAAAGAAATCACCTTGGGAAGAGTGAATCCCCTGGGCTGCAGTGGGCGATGCTGAAGAGGAGGGGAGGAAAAAAAAAAAAAAAAAAGGCAGGAATGTGACCCAAAATGTGCGGGAGTCTCAAGGCAAAACTTTATTGCAAGTATGAGTTTGGGATCATGGTTTGCTGGTAGGGAGGCAGGTCTGGAGCAGGGATGCTCCAGCTTGGGCCTCGCTCTTGGCATAACAAAGAGCAAATATATCTCATGCTTAAAAAGGCATCTCTGACCCCTACAAGCCCCTTGCTTGTCCCATCCCGTGGGTCCCAGGGGTTTTTGGTGGCCCAGGAATTTTCCCATAGAAATCCACAAAGGAAAAGTTACAGATCTGCTGCAATGGTGGATGCTGGCTGGCAATTTTCCCAGAATCCTTGGATCATGTGCTGCTCCCGGGCACATCCGTCCCCCCGCGGAGTCGGCTGCATGCCGGGACGCGGCGCTCAGCGCAGGAGCATGTGTCTGGCCACACAGAGCGCCGGCGGCAGCAGCAGCGGCAGCGCGGGGGCCCCTTCCGGGCTCCGCGGCGCCCGGCTGGGATGTCCCCTCTTGCCGTAGCCACCGGGCCAGCTCGGAGCGTGAAAGCCGCCGGCAGCAGCCGGCCGGGCACCCAGGACACCTGGGCCCAAGCGCGCAGGGCGCGGGCGGCCCAGCAGCCCCATCCCGTAGCCGGCAGCGGCTCCGGCAGCAATGGCTCCGGCCACCTTGGAGCCGCGTGCGGAGCTGGCACCGCGGCCCCCGCTGCGGGACGCAGCTCCAAAGGCTCCGGAGCGGCTGCGGCGGCCGCTGGCTCCGGCACACAGGAGGACGAGCAGCAGCAGCAGCAGCGCCCGGTGCCGGCCCGCGTGGGGTCCCATCCTGCTGTGCCTGCACTGGGTCCCCCTACAGCTCCGGGCAATCCATAGATCCTCCTATGTATAAAGAAAAAAAGTATATATATTATCTGTCTGTCTCTCTGTGGTTATATAAGACATCTTGTGCGGGAGGATGAGGATGGGGAGCGCGGCGGGCGGTGCGCGGTGCTGAGCAAACAGCCTCTTTGTGCCCAAGCTGCTGAGCCATCGCCACCCCGGCCCCGCTCCCAAAGCCCCTTTGGAAAAGGCATCCCCGGAGACAGGATTAGCTGCATCAGCACTTCCCCCTGCCCACTCCCCTTCCGACCTTGGGATGCTTCCCGGCGCCCCTCCCTTGCACAAAATGACGGCTTTGTACCTTTCTTTGCCTTCTTTTGGAGGCTTTGGAGGACGTGTTTTTAGATAACATTGTGTCATCAAAATCCTATTTTTTTTTAGAAAATCCAGAGAAAAAAAATCTCAATTCCTGTTCCTGCTACTTACAGCCACCACTGCATCCTGCCTTGCTCACCAACTCCTATGGGAATTGCTGCTTCATCCCCTTTTCCCTTCCTTTCTCTGGGTCCTTTCTGCCCCTGCCCAAAGCCCCAAAACTCACGGATTCGCATCCCAGTGCTGGGAAAACCCTAATGCTGGAGCAAGATGCTGCTCCCAATCTGTCGCACACTAAAACGCTCCCATCTGAGCAAAAACACCCTCAGTATTCCCCATTCCGCCCCCATATGCCTCACGCATTTCCCCTGCTGTCCGCACAGTTTCCCACTCTACACATGGTTTTCCATGCAGGGTTTTCCCTCCTATCCCTGCAATTCCCATGTTTTCCCGCTGCTCTGGGCCCCCCTTACCTGTATGCTCGGCAATGGGGCTCCTGCTGCCTCTCCGCCGATGCTTTTGGCCGGCTTCGGCCGGGGATTAGGGTTTTCCTGGCGGACAAAGCCGGGCAGGAGACAAACAGTGCTGGCGTCACGCGCCTGCCCTGCTGCAAAAACCCACTCTGAAACCTCCAGCAATTTCTCCCCTTTGCTGCAAAACAGCAGCTCAGCTGCATCTCCCTGAAGATTGCATTTTGGGGCCCTTTCTGGCCCCCCATCACCTGCAAAATTACCCAGAAGGATCAAGCTGGGCTACCCAGAAGGTCACAGTCACCTCGGCAGTGTTTCTCCCCGCAAAGTGCTTTATTTTAGGCAAAAACAGGCTGTACAACACTTTCTGGTAATTGGGGGTGAGGGGTGTGTGTAAAAGGTACCATTACAAAAGTTATAAACGTTGCAAAAAAAAAAAAAAAAAGCCTCAGAGCAACTTCCGACGATGCACGAAAGGATGCTCCGAGTCCCCACAAACTGGGATGGAAAGGGTTTCCCGGATGGGTTTGTGCTGTTGCATGGGGATGGGGAGCAGCTTGCAGCTGCTATTTGGCATGTTAGGTCCATTAGAGAGATCGGTGCATCGTTAAATCCACAGGTTAATTAGTGCAAATGAGAGAGAAGGGGAATGGAGGGTTAAGCTGGTGGATCCAAGCGGCAGAGAGGGGAAAAGCCCCTGGGAAGTGACTCCACCACTGTTGCTGCCATTCCACGTTTTGCAGCAGTCCCTTGCAAAAAAGCAGCCGGGAGTGTTGGCCGAGCTACATGGCCCCCAAAACCTAACAATTATTGCAATAGAAATTGCTTTTTTTCCTTCTTTTTTTTTGCATGAGAAATGTGCTTTTCTTCCCAGAAAAAAAATGTGCTTTTTTTTTTTGCAAGGAAAATGCAAACGAATCCCAAAACACAGTGCGGCAAAGGGGCTTGGAAGCCGCTCCAGGTGTTGGGAAGGGCCGGAGCGGGAAAGGGGGTGGCTCAGGCGTTTGCTACAGTGTGGTCGTGGGGACGCAGCCCTGCACTGGGTTCACAACCGAGCTGGCCCTTCGGAAATCTCCTCCAGCCTCTGCTCGATCATCAGGCGGAGCACAGAGTATCTGTGGGAGAAAGGTGAAAGAGTTGAGGCCCCTCGCTGCTTTGCCCTCTTGCAAACGTGTCCCCTTCTGCAAACACATTCCCTCTTTGCAAATTCATCCCTGCCTCGCAAACGCTGCACTCCTTGCAAACTCTTCCCCCTTTGTAAACGTGTCCCTCTTTGCAAACTTGTCCTGCCCTGCAAATGCTTCCCCCTTTGCAAATGTGTGTCTTCTTTTGCAAACGCTTCCCATTTACAAACTCTTCCCCCCTTTGCAAATGCATCCCTTTTGCAAATTCTTCCCCTTTGCAAACTCTTCGTCCTTGCAAACTCAGCTCCCTTTGCAAAATGCTTCTCCCTTTGCAAATGTTTCCCTACTTTGCAAACAKGTCCCTGTTGGCAAACTTGTCCCATTTACAAACTCTCCCCTTTAGCATCTCCCCTCGAGGTCATGGAAATAAAAACTACGCTTGGGCACTCCGTGGCACTGGCACCTACTTGCGCATGAGCTTCTTCACCTCACGGTCTTCCTCCTCCTGCAGCTTCTGGATGAAACTTTTGAGCACGGGCATCTCAAATTTAATGTACTGAGCCACCTGAGGCAGAGGCAGAAGCATTTTCCCTCCCATTCCCACCTGGATTTTTTGAGGAAAAAGGGCTTTCTCCCTGTGTTTTCCAGCACCAGCAAGGGGCTGAGCACGGGCACAACTCACGTCGTAGGTGACTTCTTCCACCTGGTCCTTCTCCATTAGAAAGACCCTGGCGACCTGCTCGCAGGGGCCCTGCAGCAGGCGGGCCAGCAGCGGGTAGTCGCTGGCCCGAAGCTTCTGCTTCTCTGCGGGGGGACGGAGAGGAGGGCGGTTGGGGACGGGGTAGGTCCTGCGCGCTCCCCTGGGCACCCCGTCACTCACCGCCGCTCGTGTGCACCACGTAGAGCGCGAACTCCTCGGCCGGGTTCTCGATCTGCACAGGAGGACAAGGGAGGGACAAGGGGGGGACATGGTGGGGATGCACGAAGGGGCTTTTATGTGGGTGAAAGGGAAAAAAAAAAGGACCCTAAATCCCTCCCCAAAAAAGTCCAAACCAAAAAAGRCAAAATAGCCAGCCCCAAACCCCACTGAAACAGATTAAAATATCCAGCCCCAAAGCAACATCACCAAAGGCTTCAACTCCACCAAAAGCCTCCCAATCCCCTACCAAACCTCCCTCTAAAAAGGTCCTAAAGGACCCCATCACCCTCAAAGGTCCCAAATCCATCCCAAAAGGCCCCAAATCTGTCCATTAAGGCCCCAAACCTCCCAAAGCCTCCCCTACAAAAGGCCTCAAATGATCCCAAGGGGCCCCATTTCCCCCAAAAACGATGCCAAATCCCCCACAGAGACCACTCCCAAAGGCCTAGTGCCCCCCCTCCCTTAAACTCCCTAAATGGCCCCAAATCTCCCCCCTGAAAGGGCCCAAGGCCCCTCGCCAAAACCCCCAACTTCCCACAAACGCCCCAAATCCCTCCCAAAAGAGCCCAAATTCCTCCCAAAAGAGCCCAAATCCCTCAAAGGGCCCAAGGCCCCTCGCCAAAACCCCCAACTTCCCACAAACGCCCCAAATCCCTCCCAAAAGAACCCAAATCCCACCAAAGGAGACCGTCTTCCCCCCAAAAGTACCTGGATCCCCCCCCAAAGTCCCCATACCTCCCCCCAAAAGCTCCCAAATCATCCCAAAGAGCCCCATTCCCCCCAAAAAGAACCCAAATCCTCCCCAAAAAGCCCAAATCTCCCCGCAAAAGCCCCCGATTTCCCCCCCTCATCCTTCCTCGCCTTGAACTTGTTGAGCAGCAGCCGCAGCACCTGCGGCGCCGTCATGGTGCTGTTCACCCGCACGTTGGTGATGGAGCCGTAGGCCGGTGTGAACACCGAGGTCTGCGATGCAGTAGCGACGTCACCCGCTACCCCGGTCACCCATCACCCACCAACTGGGCCCCGTGGCATCCGCCGTGTGAGGGGTTTCCTTTTGCCATTTCATTTCCATGCCCAATTTCTCATGCAATTTGTTCTTTTTTTTTTTTTTTTTTTTCTCAAGAGCAGCGCATGCATTTTGGCTTCCAAATGCGTTTTGCTTTGCTGCATGACTGCCCACATGCAATTTATTTTTCAAGGGGAGACACATGCAGTTTGATTTCCATTTGCATGTTGTTCTCTCGCAAAGGTGGCTGCAAGCAATTTGTCTTTTCTTATTTTTTGCAAGGGCACCTGCATGCAATTCAACGCCCACATACAATTTTGTTTTCTCGCAATGGTGGCCACCTGCAATTCACTTTCCATGTCAGGGCCTCCTTACCTTGTGGTTGTAGAAGTGGCCGTTGATGGAGAAACGGTGGCGCTTGAGGCGCCGCTGCTCGCCGGCCGAGCGCCCGCTGCCGCGGCGCCGCATGCCCACGTCGCTGCGTGTCCGCAGCAGCTGCGGCAGCTCCTCCGCCTGCGCTCGGCCCTCGCCGGCGCCTGCACCAGGGCTGCAAATTGCTTCTTTGCTTTGCAAAAGCATAACCCCTCCCTGTGCACCCCAGAGCCACGTTTCCCCCTAAACATGGTGCAAAATAGCTGGTGCCAAGAGCAAGACACAGAAATACGGCTCAAAAATGCAAGGTCTTGCTACAAATGGTTTAATGAAAAGTGCATGTAAAGTAGCTGCCCTGCATGCACCAATTCATTGCTGCAAAGAGCCCTTAAAAAGCTTCAAGCTCCCTCAAAATAAAAGCATACCCAGGCCAGCATCCCACCGCCTGTCAGCCAGTGCCTCCGTGTTCATCACCTGGGTCTCCGGCAGGGTGCTCGGCTTCAGCCCGGAGCTGTGGAGAAAAAGAAGAGACACCAGGGTCATGAGATCACTGGGAGACCTGGAGCTTCCCATGGGAGCAATGCAGCCCTCTGGCATCCCTGCAGCCCCAAAATAACAATAAATAACAATAAATAACAATAAATAACAATAAATAACAATAAATAACAATAAATAATAAAAATAACAACAACAAAAAAATATCGGCGGGCGCCATACTCACCCATGGGCGCCCAGGTTGCAGCCTGAGTGCCAGGAGGAGGAGGAGGGCGGTGGGCGGATGCGCTGGTTGTCGTCCTGCATCTGCAGGCGGATGGGCCGCCGCAGGCCCCACGAGATGTTCAGCAGCCCCTCCACGATGAACTCGCCGTCCTCCTGCACCACAAGCACCGACGGGCAGCCCCAGAGCCCCTGGCGGAGCCGGGAGCGCCGTGGGAGCAGCGCCCCGGGATGCTCCCGCATGGAGGCTGCAGCAGGATGCAAGCAGCCCGTGGCAAAACGTCACAGAAAAAGAGGAGATGCCAAAAAATATATAGATAATATGCAATTTTAGAGATTATGCATATTTTTAAAATATATATATTTGTAGGTGTCAGGCTTAAAAATTGGCGCAGTGCCAATAGCCAGGATTTTTGCCCCCTGTCTGTGGCTGGTTGCAAAACAGCATGGAAGAAGAGGGAATACTGAAAAATATATATAAAACATGTGATTTTATAGATAATGCCTATTTAAAATACATATTTGTAGGTGTCTGGCTCAAAAGTGAAGGCGTGGTGCAAAAGCTGGGACTTGGCGCCGCCGGCCGCTCACCTCCCGGTGCCGCAGCTGCAGGTTCTGCCCCTCATAGTAGATGTTGTAGGTCTTCAGGTGCAGGAGCAGCTCATTTCTGCGGACGAGAGCAGCGTGACTGGGGCTGTGCACAGGCGGCCTCCCCTGCCCAGCTGCCCTGCAGCCAAATCGGGAGCTTTTACCCTCCAAAACCAAAAACCCCCAGACGGGAGCTCCGATGGAGCCAGCTTCTCCCTGCAGCCGCCACCTTTGCAAGCAAAAAACCCCAGTTCTGCAGAAATCCCCTTTTGCCCCAAACTGACGGACTGCAGAGCAGCTTTGATTCATTTCTTCCACTAAAGAACATTATTCTAGCTTGATATAAATTATTAAAATCTTATTATATGCACATATGTATTTTTTAATGGGATTTGCTACTTGCTGCCTCAGCAGTGCATTTCCTCCCGTGACTCAATAACAAAGAAGAATAAATATAATGAAGAGTAAATAAATATCCCTATCACTATATCTTAAATAATAAGTAAATGAAGCCACCACTGGGCATTAAAGAAAAAATAAATAAATCTCTTTGTGCTGCCAGCGCCTTACTTGGAAATGAACTTGTCTTTCCCGCAGGGCACCAGGTATTCCCGGCTGCCGTATTCCATCCTCACACTCCTGTCTCATGGGGAGCCGCGAGCTGGATGCCGTCGGGAAGGGAAAAGGCCGAAGAAATCAGATAAGGCTGCAAAAGCGCTGAAAATTTAATACCAGCGGGGATACGCTTACGGCAGCATTTGCATCCCGGGCGCCTTCGGCTTGAGACCCAGGCTGCAACGTCACGGTGATTTTTAATAGGGAAAAAGGTTTTTCTCTGGGTTGTGGATGAAGGGCTTTTGCAAAAGTCCCAGCATGGCCCAAATTTAATGTGGCCTATGTCTGTAAGTGCATTAAATGCTTGTTTAATGACCTTATAACGTGGAAAAAAATAAGGAATTTTTCATGCATGAGGGACCAGAGGAGCCAAGTTTGCCCTGTTGCTCTTGGGAGAGGGAAACTGAGTCAGGGAATTGGCTGACCCAACCAAATCCTGGGACTTTCCCCCCGCATCTCCTTAAAACAACCCTTGGGTTGCAAAAAAACAGTGCCCGGCTGAATGAGGTGTCTGCGGCTGCCGCCAAAACAGCGGCCGAGCAATGGAGCAACCAGCAGTTCAACCCATACCATGGATGCAACCCTACATCCCCCGGGACATAAATAATACACAGCGTATCCAGTGCAAAAGTTTAAAAACAGAAAAAGAAGGGGGAAAAAGGCACTTGGAAGTGGAGGGTTTGCAAGTGCCAGACCGGAGGAAACGTGGCAGGAAGCGCCCGGGGCCGGTGCGTTTGTATTGGAAAAGCAGAAGCAAAAACCAGGCCGAGAAAGCAGCGCCCGGAAAAGCAGCATTTCCTGCTCCCCGACACCTTCGGCTACGTCATCGCGGCTTCTTCCGAGTGAAATCTCTTTCTTTTTTAAATAAAAGAAAGAAAATGGATGTGCCAGCCCGGATGCCGGGCGTGAGGATGGAGCAGCTGCTGCTTCCACGGTGCAGTTGACACTGCTTTGAGGCCTGACCCAATTCAGCCCTAATCCAGCCCAAACAGTGCCCATTTCTGTACGGAGAGACTTCCGGAGCTGCGGCATGTGGGGAGAAGGGCACAGAATAGAAGAACAATGTAAAAAAACATTTAGAAAAATGGTAAAAATGACGTTTTCCAGGACATTCATCTTTCCAAGTGCCCGACCACGGCTTTTCCTAGCTTCGCAGAGGACTGTGGGAATATCCCGCTCCCCAGGGAAGGCGGAAGAGCCAGATTCCGGAGAGCGCCGCGGCAGCATTCCCGGGATGCTGTGATTTGCCCCGTGCACCCCCGGACATCCGGCCACATCTGCGGGGGGGGCTGGGGGCGCCGGTGGCGCTGCCATTGTTTTCCCGGGATCCATTGTTTGGAGAGCCTGACTCTCCAAGGGGGAAGAAGGGGCAGGGGGCGGAGGCAGCCGGGGGAACTCGAACGGTCTCCGTGACACGTGTGGGGGGCTCCGCGCGGCGCCCCCCCCCCGCATCCCGCTTGGGTTGGGACACGCGGAGGGGCCGGGGGTGTCCCCGGGAAAGGGGGGGGGCTGTTCCCTGGGGGAGGCTCCTCGCCCGTGGGTGTCCCCTTCCCAGGGGAGCCCCGATCCCGCGGGGGCTGCTAATTCCCCATCCTCGCGCAGATCCCGACCCTGGGGGGGGSCCCCATCCCTACGGGAGATCCCAAGAGGGGTCTCCCATCCCCACAGTAGCTCGTGGCCCTGCGGGGTGCGTCCCCCGTTCCAACGGGATACCGGGTAGCGAAGGGGTCTCCCATCCCCACGGCGCATCCCGATCCTGCGGGCGGGGTGGCTCCCACATCCCCACGGAGCATCCGGCTCCCGGGCGGCCCCGCCGTTCCCACGGGGGCTCTCGACACACGGGTGCCCCCATCCCGCCGCCCCAGCAGCCGCCGCGCGGCCGCGCTCGCCGCCCCGTCCCTCGTCCGCGCGGGCAGTGGCCACTGCGACGGAACCGGGACAGGAGCGGGGGGGCTCCACGTCCCGCGCCCCCCGCCTCGCTCCGCTCTCACCCGGGCCCGGGCGCCGACGGCCGCGCCCCGCTCCGCTCCGCGCCCCGCCCGTCCCCGGCGCCTCGCGGCGCGGCCGCGTGTGGGGCCGCCCCCGGGGGCGGAGCCTCGCGGCGCCCTCCCGCCAGGGGGCGGAGCCTCGCGGCGCCCTCCCGCCCTCCGGGATCCCCCCCCACCCCGAATGAGGCGCCCTTCCCATGGATCCCCTCCCTTAAGAGATCCCCCATCCCCATGGATGCCCCCATGCCCAGGGAAACCCCTTCCCCATGGATCCTCCCAGGGATTGACCCATCCCCGCTCCCGCTTCGGGCTCTGGGTCCTACAGGACAGCCCCAGCTCGGCCAGCCACGATGCTGGGTTCTGGGATGGGGATCCCATGGGACGTCCCCTTCCCGGCACGGAGGCTGGTGCAGGAACCGGGCTGGACCTCCCAGCTCCGGGAGCAGGATGGGGCCAGCGCAGGGATCACGTTTGGGCTCAGGATGGAGGGAGCAGACCCGCAGCAGCCGCCACGGTGCCAGATACTCTGGGATATTCAGTATTCSAAGTGCAGCAGCCCTGAGCTGCGTCTGGACCTGACTCTTCTCTCGGCTTTGTGCCCCAGCTCTCTTTATTTTTTTCTCTCTTAGTTGAAGGAATTTGGCTAGAAATGGCCCACGCAAGGGAAAAAAACAGAAAATAAGATCATGGTGCCAAKTTGCATCTATGCCCGCATTTATTTATACTGAACAGCTTTAAAAATACAGAATAAAATAGCTTTATCTACTATTATTCACAACATCTGGTCCAAATATTACTTTTTTTTTTTTTAAATATTCATTTAATGAAGCCATGTTAGAAAAAAATACCAAATTGAAAAAAAAAATCCATAAAGGAATTACACATCTCAGGAAAAACAAAATTTGCTGTGTAACAACAGCAACAACAACAAAAGAGTTTTACAGCCAAAGTCAGTCACCAAAAATAAAGTCATGAAAAATATTTATCCCCACTGCCTAAGAACAGTCAATAGTTTGTTACGCCAAAGGTTGTGGTGAACGGGCCGAAAATGTAATATTTGGGGTTGGCAGCAAGACGCTGAGCCTGGAAAGGTGTCGTAAATGCGAACTAATGGACAGGGCAATCCTGAATCCCTCATGCAGGGATTCAGGATGGGGGAGGCGACAGCAGAAGCCCCTCAGCCTTTAGGGGAGAGACTGAGAAATGGTGGGAAATTTGGGGCGAAAAGTATGACCCGCTTGCTCCCCATGTTGGGGGAAAAAAAAAGGGGTAGGGGAAAAGTCTGGTTTTGGTTTAAGAAGAGCACTTAAAGGAAACAAAGTGCTGGGGCGGGGGGGGCCCTGGTTGGTCACACCTGCGTTTTCTACATCCATCCCAACTGAAGTTGAGCAGGGGCTGGGAAACCCAAGGGCTGATGGTACCATGGGAAGCTGTTTGGGAACCCCGCCGTGTGTCTCCTGAGCCATTCAGACCTCAAACCAGGCCTTTTTGGGTCACTTCGGGGCAAATCACCAGTGCTTGAGCACTGCAGTACAGACAGGACCAAGGGGGCGCAAGTGTCAAGCGCTCCCCAGGAGGGCCAAGATCTCAGTAGGGAGATGATGGATTAAGAGAAACCCTTTATTTTTGTGGGAGCAGGAACACAAAATGCGGGTAAATTAAGTATACACAACTACTATAGGTTCGTCAATGAAGAAAATCTACCATCACATGACATTGTCATGACACTCACACCACTCCCTCCCAGGCAAGCGGCCGTCGCCATCCTGAGCGGAAATGTTATTATTATTCTTTTCTTTTTAATACATGGACATAAAACACCGCACTGTTCATGTACAAACCAAGTTGCCGTACTGAAAGTCTGCATTAAAAGGTGGGGAGTGACATTCCGGGTCTTCCCGCCGCAGCCCCTCAGCCAGCGCAGCCTTGGGTGCAGCCGGCGTTGCTGTGAAATCTGCTTTTCTACAGGTGGGATTTGTGAGGGTTTGCTTTAGCCAACGGCTTAGCAAGAAGTCTTAGTTTAACCTAAAATAAAAATAGAAAAGAGCATCAAAAGGCCCAAGTTGTCTAGTTTTGCTATGTTTCTACCACCTCAGATACGACAAAAGGAGATTTCTACCATCAACAATTCCCTTTGCGTCTTTAAGGTTCGGCTGAAACGCCACTTCTCCCCCATCCGCTAGACCAAAGGTCTGACTGAATAATCTGATTTTACTTAATCTAATAATCTTTCTTATGCTGCAAAAGGAAGATTAAAAAAAAAGTTGGTATTTTGCCCCAGGAAAGGGAATCAAGGACTCCTCGGGTTCATTGCCTTAAATATTTTGGACAAGTCACCCCATCGGCAACCCTACCGCATTCAAGTTAAGGCCATGAAGAAGGATATCCAAAAGCTTGCTGCCTCCTCTCTCCACTGGAAAAGCATCTGGGCTGTCACAAGAATATTCCAAAAAACCCTCCAAACACAACAGTTTTCACCACCACTTTCGGTGCCCATGTTCATCTCAAAGACAAACCTTTTGCTTCCCTTCCTCAACCTTTATAATTCAACCAACTTTGGCATTTTACATGATTACAGCTGCCTTAAATTGGTGGCTTTCTCCTTTTCGTTCCTTTTCTTCCTCCTCTCTCTTATTCTCCTTTTTCAGCCCCATCTTTGTGAATTCCCCTGTGGCTCCTGCGCATCTTTGGTTGCGCATGAAGTTGGGAAATTTAGAAGTGTTGGGCTATTGATGAAAGGTCTCTGCATTCCTACTAATGCATACCTTGCATACCTACAAATGGTAGGTCTAACAGCTTGCTACCCAAGGAAGAAAAAAACATTAAAATTATAAAAATGATTTAGTTTCACAGGCAGACTCACTTGTCTAATACACAATAACTCTTCTGACCAGCTTTTGGGATAATCCAGTTGACACCAAGACTGCAAACTACTGAAGGTTCCCTGAAGTGGGAACAAGCACATGCTTTGTTATGGAAGAAAATAAAGCAGTATAAAAGAGTTTCTGACATGCTGAAAACTAGAGGAATGGGATCACTCCAATTCTACACTACTCAGTACCAATCCATAAAGCTCTTGCCTCGACCCTCCCCCACCCAAACCCTTCCATGCTTCAATAACCAACAACAAATTCACCTGGAAGTGGACTTGGAGCAAAGAGTTTCTGCGCGCGGGTCCAGTAGTCAAACTTTGATAAATATATTAGTGATTTACAAGATCTACTGTTCTTTTTTTTTTGGGTTTTTTTTGGGTTTTTTTTTTTTTTTTTTCCCCCCAGGAATACAAAACACAAGCACCGTAGAGCATACTGGCCTTGAAATTACATGACACTACATTTCCCTGATGATCTCCACAGCTTAAAAATGCTTTTGGGGCCACATCATCGTCTAAAACTAACTTGCAATAGTAAGAACATTAAACATGAATAAACCTTTTTAATTATGAAGGCATGATGAGCATGAAACATTCACGTAATGTCAGAGCTGAGACTACTCCAGGAAAAAAATCTGCATGGTGCCCCGATTGGACCCGGTACCCGTTAAACCATCCAGTGGATGAGGACATCAAATGTAGTGTCTCTGCTGGAAAAGAAGATTGCCTCCGGCCTTCTGGCTTGGCTATCCAATAATTCCATTAAAAAAAAAAAAAAAATTCTCATGATTTGCCAGTACAAACAGGCAAGGGTCCGAAAACATGGAATGTGTCATCTAGCGTCTGGAAAACGCTGCGTATGTTGAGTTGATGGTGGGTTGGGAAGTACGAGGGTTGCAATTTTTCCACCGGATTCTGATTTTGTGGCATAACTAACACTGCCCGCAATGAATGCGCCAAAAAACGCCAGCATCGACACCTTAAATAAAACTCACCGTAGAAAGAAGCATTTCTCAATAGCATCTGAACACCTCAGGAACCCAAGCTCCAGTTAACATTAAAAATAAATCAAAAACAAACAGACTTAGGTGCATAGATATCTAAAGCTTTTGAAAAGTGAAAAGAGGAACACTGGAAAATTTGACCCAGAGACACTAAATCTGGCTACCACCACCCACAACAGGAAAGCTTTTTTTTTTTTTTTTTTTTTTTTTTTTTTTTTTTCCCTTCTTTTTTTCCCCTTCTCTTTTTAAACTCGTCTCAGCTCTGGTTCCAGAATTTAAATGCAGATATACAAAACATATATTTTAATGCTTCTTAATCAGCAAGAAACTGCAAATACGTATTTTACTACAACTAGATAATATAATTTCAACTAAGGCTATACTGTAGCTTCCGAGTCTTTGTCTGAACTCCTGCAGTTACTGCTTTTCCTGAAGCCTTTCCACGTGTAGCCCATAAAGGTAGGGCTGATTGGCAGGAAGCTGAAACACCTGTATTTTTTAATGAAGTTCATGCCAAAAGGCAAATCGTACGTTTCCATGCCATCCAGTGACTTGCTTCCTTTACCCACTCCTTTCTTCCATTTCCTTATCCCCCTTTCTTCGGGGCTTCCTAGAAGTTAAAACAAATAAAAATTAATGCAGTTGCACACAGACACACACATAAAAACATGCTACAACTCGGGAAGTTAAGTATGCTCAGTCTGGTCTCTTCCTTTTTGATTTTTTCTTCCCCCCGGTACATTTCTATCTTTAATAGCGCAGAGATCTTAACTAGAAGATGCAAAGTGCACTTGAAGAAACCGAGGCAGGCTGGGATTAGACCACTTGCTCTAAAGAAATAGAAAAGCAGAACCAGCAACCGCTTTCTCACCTCCTGCCTCCCTAAAATGCTCTCCAGAATTCATTTCATTTATCATTTCAACTAGAACAACACATTTGCACGGCTAACCTGGAATGGTGTTATCCAAAATAAAGGCAACGCAGCCACCGACAAACATGGCTGTGGTGAGGAGAACATTCAGTACTTGATCAATGCCTGCTATTCCTAGGGGGATGGAAAAGAAAAGGAATTTATTCAGAGCTTTGATCGTACATACGCACATCCTACTGATTTATGTGCTGCCCGACTGGGAAAAACACTGAGGTCACTAAGGAATTTGCTCGAATGGGGCCCTTAAAACCATGTGGGAATAGATACAGAAGAAGCTTTAAGCAACACAGTCCTCCCACAGATCCTCACCCCCCCCAGGCATAACTCCATGCACTTTAATAGCTTATAAAGATGCAAAGAAATGCCATTTCAGTTGCTATTGCAAGCACAACTGTGCAATTTTAAAATAATTAGAAAATTAAAACATGGAAAGGGGTTTTCATAATCTAAAAAAAATGCACATGAGGAAAAAAGACGAAAAATGGAAAGAGATTTTCATAACCTGAAAAGATTTAGAGGATGGAAAAAGAAAAAATATTACTTTTTAAAAAGAGCAAAACTTTACAGTAGCATTGAAACAGCAGCCTCCATTCTCAGCATCTCAGTATTTGTCCACTTCTGACACATCTGCATTATCTACAGCTTTTATTGTCTCATTAGTATTTTGCTTTTACTCTTTTTTGCTCTTTAAGTTACTTTATACTTGTTTGTACTTTGTATTTTGAGTATTAAAGAACACTCATGGGTGAAAAGTTTGCTTCCATATGTACCTGTGACCAGTGGGTTTTGTTTGAGATAGCTCGGAAGGACGAGTCCAAAGAAAATGGAAAATCCAAGGACAAACAGGTTCCGTGAAGAATTTAAATCTATGAACTGGAGATTAGACAGTCCCACAGCTGTAATCATTCCTGAACAAAAACAAAATGAGTCTCAGCATTGGGAGAGCCTTTTTCTAAGGAAACATGACAATGTAAACCAAAAACATGCACCGCCAGAGCAGAGATATCACGGGCACCGAGGACACGGAGCGCAGCAACAAAACACCCGTTACCAAAGAGCGTGCAGAAGAGGGCACCGAGCACGGGGTCAGGTAGCGACGCAAAGAGAGCGCTGAACTTGCCAACCATCCCAAGCAAGAGCATGAAGGCTGCGCCATACTGGATAACCCTCCGGCTCCCAACCTGCAGAGAGAGCATAAAGAAAAAGACAATGAAAGAGGCTGCATTTACGCCAGCTTTATGTCTTTTTTTTTTTTTTTTTTTTTTTTTTTTTTTTTTTCCTCACTCTCCCTTTGGAATTCTGCAATATCTGGGAGTACATCGCACAGATACTGGTTACCTTCCATGCCGTTCGCTTGAAGGAGATGCAGACTTTGCAGACAGACATTACTGGATCATTTTACATCTCCCTCCAACATCAGAGCTGAATACACTGCAGATGCAAAACCTGGCTGTGCCAGCACTGCGAAAGCAAATGTCTTCACTTCCTTCTCATTTTTATTTTAAGCACTCAACTTAGGGCAGTATTTCTCCAGTATAACGTGAGAGCAGCCGTTGGGCAAGAATGCACAACATAAAAGTTTTATACTTGCAGGACAGCTGTATCAGGCACAATAAAAGATGTGCTATGCTGCAAAGGTGGTTTCCAGCAAAGCTCTTTGCAGACTCCTGCTATAACTAAGCTTCACAGAGAAGTTAATCTTAATTATGTGTGACTAACCTGAGTGCCTCCTCCACAGAACAAGAAAGAAGGGAAGCATCATGCTAGAGTTGCAATGAATGCAAGCATGTATGTGTTTTAGAAAGCAGGACTAAACTTACGCTACTATGAAACCCTCTCAGTTTAAGCAAGGATATAATATGAGCATCTAGGGTAAAAGTACTTCATTCCTCAAATATTCTTCACTGCCCAAGTTAGATAGGAGGCATTCAGCTACAGAAAGGACATGATTATTAGGCAGTCTTTTGTTCACGAACATTTAGAAGGTTTTTTTACCCAAATAAACAGCAGAGTATATGTGCCAAAAACCCAAAACAATAAAAAAGGCTATTTTGATACAAATTTTGAAGTTGCAAACTAATAGTTTTTTAGGCATGAGCATGGAGACTGGAAAATAAGATAAAACACTAGAGTGTGGCCATCCAGCTGTGCCACTGAGGATGAGGCCCATTCACTTGTAATGATGCTCTCCGAACAAACCTAACTGTATTTCATTTTGTTCTCTGTAACAGCTTCTGGTTAAACATTCATTTTCTGTTGTTCCAAAGCAAAAAGTGCTCTTATTCCTGCAGCCCGTTAATAATAAAAAAAAATGTGCTGTTAACTGATACCAATTGCTGCTGCAAAGTCAGTGCGAAAAACAGAGGTTGGAACTGAATAAACCTTTTCTTCAATGCTTTTTGTAACCAGAATTTCTTCTAGGAAATTTCCATCAGCAACTGAAAGGAAGAGACTTATACAGACAGCAGATGGTGCTATTAGTTTTATATTCTGTACTGAAAGCAAAGAGACTCGTCCTTTGTACAGAAAAGAAAAAAAATGGCTGAAGACAAATTCCCCATCTTTGCTGCATAGAGTCGGAGGGATGAGTTATTCCCACATGTCAGCAGTGGATTTATAGCTTCCAAGCCCAACAACGCAACAAAATGTGCGCATTCGCAACATAAATCACACCTAGCAATTTTGTGAGTCTTTTTAAGCAAGGTTAAATTAACATTGTCAAGCAGATTTATCTGTGGCCCAAGGCCTCCAGGTTCAGAGAGGCTTTTGAGCACATGGACAATTTGACACATGAATTATCCTGCTGGCTCCACAGGAATTCCTCAGGAACTTACATATTTTTCTGAGTAACACCCCAAAAATATGAAATCCCTTAAGCATGCTCAGGGTTCTATAAACCATGAYGGGGGCTAATATTCAGGGGATATTTAACTTCGGAATTACCTTGACCGCAAGCTCCTGCTCTGGCTATGTCACTGTCATGTCCTCGTACAATGTAGATAAGCTCCAAGGACCTCAAGTTGCATTTCATCATGTGCCAAAATGAAAAACTAAAAACATTCAGCTCTCCTCTACTGACACTTTCAGAGCCAAGATGACTAGAAGAGTATCAATTTCTATACAATTTACAGTGTTTATGTCTCAACCTAAAAGAAGATTTTTGGGGTCCTTCTCAGGAATCAATTTCCATCAGATAATGGTCAGGACAGTCAAATTAAGTAAATTCTAAAGACGGCTTTTTTTCTTTTCTGCAGAAAGCACAAAGTGACATGTAAATAATATGTGAATGCTGAAGAAGGTCCGAGCCAGCCAAGGCAGAACACAAAAACATACTCAAATCCTCAGCTGATCAAGGCAAAGCACATACCTTTGTGATGCCCAAGACACCGATGTTAGGGCTGGAAGAAGTGGATCCATTCCCTGTCCCAAATACTCCATCCAAGACACAGGAGAGACCCTCAATAAAAATCCCTCTGTAATTTTCAAAGAAGCAAAAGTCAAAATTGCATTAATGTGGCCTCATTTTAATCTCATGCTTTCTTGATGTCAAGTTATTGCCTTGCATGGTTTATTTTCATCAGTGTTTCAAGCTCCAAAACCTGGAGAAACAACATAGGTGCCATCCTCTAGATATCACATGTTCACAGTCTAGATATCCAAAGAATCGAAGAAAACACAAAATAATCACGTCAAACTTAAAGCCCTTCTCTATTTCTAAAACTACAGTTCAGGTGAACTGAACAAGCTACAGCGTTTCCAGAGATGATTTAGAATTTTGTCCCTACTGAAGTAGCAGCAGCAAGTGCCATGGATGCCAGCAGAAACAGAACTAGGTTGCCAATGGTACATTTAGCATCAAAATGAACTCAAAACCACAGCTGCATCTTGTGTTTCAGGTCTTTGAGTCTTGTGTTTGGCCAAATTGCAACATTTAATATCAAAACACGTTCCTGATTTACCCCCAAAAAAGGTACAGAACAGTAGCATAAAATACAGATAAATATTTCCTTTTTGACATACCTATTTATTGCATGAATAGGTGGAGGGGGAGCACATGACAGCCTGGCACAGGCATAGTAATCCCCGATGGATTCAATAATGCTAGCGACGACTGCGCTAAGCATCCCGATTACTCCAGCGGCCGAAATTGTTGGCAGTCCCCACTGAACTGTGAAGAAAAGAAAACTGAAAGCTCTTGTTCCACCGAAAACAAATTTAGATAACAAGACACACAGCCATTTATTAATCTTTAATGGAACCCAACTCCCTTTACAGTAACACTGTCTGGCAACTTTGACTAGATGAAAGGAGCAGAGGAAAAAAAATTGCCTAAGCAACTGCTTTGATCATGCTTGAAAAAAAAGGTAACCCCTGCCAAAAAAATTCCTCCTGTTCAGGAGACATGAATCTTAACTGCTGCTTGTGGGACAGGAGAAAAAAAATCAGATCAGTGAGGCCAGTGCCACTTAATTATCATTTTTCTAAAAATGCTGTTTTTAGCTGTGAGTTCAGTCTGCACAAGATGATAGCCAAAAATCAGCTATAACCATGTACAAACACCTTCCATTTCCAAATTTCAGCCAAAGAGAAAATAAGATTAATTTAAGCCCTTTGCAAAGCTTGGCAGGTTTTCTGCAGCAATTGCCTTGACGCTTTTATCTCTTTGAAATAGATGAGTCTCTCGCAACAAAAGAAAGTTTAAGTCACACCAACATGAATGAACAAGGCTTTATAAATAAGAATGGTCTAATTGAGGCGCAGAAGCATCTTCCTCGTCTTCATCATCGCCAAACCCTTCTATTAAACATTTTGCAAGTTATTCTTTAGAAGTGGCTTTTTTCAAAGCCTAATCAAAACCAAGTACATAGAAAACCACAACGAAGCTGCTCATTATGGCATGCTGGTATTCATAACTTGTCCTATTACTCTATTCTAGTACAATATGACTGTTATTACCATTAACTTCTGAATGGCACAAGTGTGGACTGGTTGTGCAACCCCATCTCCCAGTTGTAGGCAACAGCTTTTAATAGCTTTAAACTATTGGGTGGCCAGGGAAATACTAGATTTTGTCCATGATGCAACGTATAACATTTTGTTTCCTCTTGCAAATGTTACTGACACTTGATATTTGTTAAAGAGGCTGTAAGACACCTCTTAAAATTATAAAATGCTAGAGAAAAGCTGTAATTCCCTTAGTGCAATGCATTTATGTCAGTTAAAAGACTCCCACCAGTTTCTGTATAGACAAAGTGTATCAGAATAAAACATTGAGGAAAAAAATGAGTAAATGCTTGCAAAGAAAGGACAGAAAAGATGCTCACAGGTGTACTGTTAAATTCAGCCTTAAAAGGAAAAATAAAATCTACTTACAAGGATAAGGGACCTTGAACCACGGTGCGACCAAGAGCACTCCTCGGCGGGCGTCCGTGCGTGCGTAGAAGCCGTACTTGGAACTGTCCGGGGGAAAGACGTCCGTCACAGTGAAGATGAAGCACAGCAACCAGGACACCAAAATAGCTAAAATGATCTGTGACAGAAGAGAGGAAAAAGTTGTTTGAAGTCAATGATTATCGATAACATTCACCAACAGCAAAAAGGTGCAGCACAAAGCTTCTCTAACATGCTTATCTTAGCATGATCTTAAGTGATATTCTCAGTCTGAAGAACAGTAAATCCTCTAATGGATCTTTTAGGTGATTTTTCTTTAACAAAGGTGCACTTACAAAAGCTGTGGGATCAGAACAAGCCTCTTCTCTCTCCTAACAAATGGGATTGTCTCCAAATGAGCACTTTAAATGAATGCAGAATTCACTCGTTTAACTTCAATGCAGAAATAAAAGGAAGTCTTTCACCCAGGGAAACTAAGCAGGCTTTCAAAACCCCCAAAGATAATGATCTGGCCCTCCCTTTTTGGAGAGCTCCCTTTGGACTTTCACCGCATGCACAAACATACCTTCCTCTCTAGCCTTCCCCTCCCCGACACTCCGTCACCTTCATCGCTCCAATGGCTCTTCACCAGGGAGAGATGCCAGACTGGGAGCTGGCAAGACTACATGAGACAGTCTTTCCTCTAGCAGATGAGCCCGTTAGTTAAGTTTCCCATAAGTGCATCCAAGCTTTTATCTCATTTTTGCAAGCTATTTTACCCTTAATAAAAAGAATACATAAAAGATACAAAAAATAGGATTTTCCATGTTTTCCTATGAAGAACATCTACTTACAGGAAACATTTTGAAAAGCTGCAGCCTGTATGCGGTCCATCCTTTCTTGGATTTGTAAATTGGTAAGGGAAATTTGACATTCCTGGCATACTGAGAAAACAACAATACTAGGAAAATAGTTCTGAGAAAAGAGGAGGAGGGTGAGAGAAGAGAGACACATCATTAGCATCAATACGCTAAAAACCTTTCCCTGTATAAACTCAATAACCCTTTAGGCTCTCTCCAAACCCAATATATACATAGGAATTTAAAGATTTAGCATGAGACGAAGCATTGGGAGAGAATATAGTTACACTGCTCCTCTATGAAACCCAAAGCTCCATAATTTGTATTTTATAGTAGTGCAATGCTACCAGAAGCAAACTGATACACAAAGGCAGGAAAGGAAGACAACTACAGAAAGGTTTTTGGAGATAGGATCGTTGGGAAAAGGTAAGCTGTGATCTTCTGTTACTCAAACTCTTATTTTTGTTCAGAATTGCACTGCATTCAAAGCAGAAAATAGGAACATCTGGAAGGACAGACATGGGGGCCAATGTGAGATAACAGCTAAAACACATCAGGCCCTATGTTGCTACATCCCTCACTCATCTTCAGCAATACCCCTCACTTTGCTATAGCCAGCCCACTCCTGTAAAACACCTCAGTCCAAAAAGGCTACACAGAGAGTCAAGCGGTTTGAAGAAGCAAAAGCTTTTCCTGAAATTTGAGGAGATTATGTTTTATCATTGATTTAAAGGGGGGGGGAGGCGGGGGGGAAGGATTTGAAGTTTTCCTCCCTCCTCTATTCAAGATCACTTTGAGGTTGCGAGAACAAAACAGAGCTTTATTCTCTTTGAAACTGCAGGAACAAAGAGCTCTGCACAAGCAGGATGTCGTTTCTGGCCTCCACCCTGGACTAAGGCCCAACGACCAAGGCACCTTCTCCTTGCAGTTAGGAAACATTCTGGCATCTCTCCCAAAGCCCATTACAGAGAGATGGCCTTCAGCAGGGGCTACCTTGAATGTCACAGTTACCATGACTTAGGGCTTTAAACAATCCCAAGGAGGACATATAGATTATAAAGATCCTCTTCATGGCTTGGCAGAGGCTAAAGCAGGAGAGAGAGGCAGTTTTCACCACAGCCTTTTGAGCTTTGCCTCTGTTTGCTTGGCCACAGAGCAGGTAGAGCACTGGGAAAGAGCATGAAAATATACTGTGAAATCTCTGCATGCCTAAGGAAAGAGTTTTCTTCATCAGATGTCCAGGCAAAGGCAGATCTGGAACTATATTACATTTTTAGGTTCATGATGTGACCTGCTTTATGACTGAACTATTTCAGCCAGTGCCTTCGTGAACACACAAGGTCAGAAAATCGTTTGGGAAACTGAAGCTCTTGTCAAGTAGCATTGGCAGCTAATAGTCGGTAACGGCTCTTATGCAGGTACTACTGTGCTGGGCCAGATAGCAACGCAATTACTTTTATCTCACTGGAGCAGTCAAGACAACTTCAAGTGCCACATCTTGAAAGATCAGGTCTGAGTGGATCTGAACGGCTACAGAGACATTTTCAACAATCTTGGGCACATTTTTGCATGGCAGAAGCCAGAAAGTAATTACTGAGGGGGTAATATTTAAACCCGATCCCTAAACTGATTTATTTTTCCATTTGCAACCTGTCAACTCAAATTACAGGTTCCCATGTCCAATCCACCAAAGGCCTACTTGCTTAATTTAACATTGGCTCCAACTTGCATAGAATTTGCTTTACCAAAAAAAGTTCCTTTGGGTCAGCTGCTTAACATAATAGAATTACAAAACTATTCATGATGCTAACATCTGAGATAAAAGATAATTAAAYAGTCCTTTTAATCATAAGGTGCATATAGAATACTTCACATGTTGAAAGTACTGCGCAAACAGATTAGTTAGATTAGAACTTGATCTCATCAAGTCATTCCTCCCATTTCCAGAGCCAGGACAAGGTTGCTCACTATATACTGGACATTTCATCTACTTCTGCCAATTTTAGTCTCCCTAAAAACATTGTTTTCACCCTCATTTGGCTGACTTCTCATCACAGAATCACAGGAATTTTGTGTGTTCTGGTCATTCGTTTTCTCTCAGTTTCTTCCTTTCATATTGCTATTCCTGATTCTTACATTTCCTTGTCATACCTACAAAAAAAGGCACATTATGCCCTGAAATTCACTCTAGAAGTCTTTTTGTCTACTTATATATCAGCAATTGGAAGAATCATCTCAGAAATGGGCAGAGAGGAAGCTTGCAGGACCTCCTGAAACCAACATAACCTTCATCCCTGTTAAACCTTAGCAAAACTTGATTTAAAAATACAGTTTTATTGCACCAGTGAAACCCTGATATTACAGGAATCACTTGGATGGTACGCTGAGATTGCAAGGAGGAATGGGAACACTGAATACCTCTTATGGTTAACATTAACCTTTCCCTTTTCTTTCCCATTTTTGTTGGGATGGGAGGCACAACAACATTGCCCTCCACCTCACTTCAACCTTCCACTTGAAGAGCATCAAGTTATTTAGCCCAAGCAGCTGCAGTTACCTTTTCCAGGTAAAAGCAAACTGAAACACATGGGGAAAACTCACTGCAACTAAAGAGCGACTGAAATGTGGAAATTTCACACACTTAGCACTGCCCTGCTGCCTTTAGTAGTGGAAAGAACTTGGGTTTTTCACCGACACCCACAACCCCTGCACGCTGACTWACCAGCCAGGGAGTACTTACAACATAGCGATGCCCCAGTGTTTGCCTGCTCTTTCCCCAGCTGCCTGGAAGCCGGAGAGGCCAATGAGAGCGACGGTTGGTGTGATGGTGAGAGGCCCGATGTAGCGCAGCAGGGCGCCGGGAAGGCCGAGCAGCCCGATGACCACCTCTATCAGGGAGGACATGATGATAGCACCTTGGATCTGAACACACAAGAAGGGCAAAGAGACAGGTCAGTGAAAWCTTGAAGAAAAAAAATCTCTTTTTTTTTTTCTGCTCTGGCTTATAAACCACAGTTAAAGAATTCAGTGACAAAGAAGAACTCAGCATTTGTTTTTTTTTTTGTCATAAAACAGCTCATTAGGTTTAAGTGACTTATTGCTTAAGCATAACACTTATGGTTTTCTCCACAAAACTATTCCACAACAGACCAGTGGGCCAGTCTGGTAGTTGTGTGGATAGCACATCACACTGTCAGACAGGAGACCTGGGTTCCAGGCTAACCTTTAAGCTCTCAGATCGAACCGGCAAGGGCTGCTGGCGCCACGGAGGTGATGCTCCTAGCTCCTAGGGGCAGAGTTTGTGCTGCATTTTCACAAGTGCTCCTTAGAAGCTGGTATAGAGCAGCGTTGTGGTCTCAGGAGACTGTCAGCCCTCTTGGCTGCAGGGCTCTTGGCAGGATGTAGCTATGGTTTGAACATGGGGAAGAGAGAGGGGTGGTTTTTAATTACGAAAAAGTTTGCAGCCCAAAGCGACGGGATGGGAGAGAAATTCCATGACACACGCCTGCGTTTGGGACTACGCTATCTACCGCCCTTGTGGGACGCCTGGGCACGACCCTCGTCCTGGGCTCTGCAAAGCAGGACGGAGCTCACGCTGAAATGCTGCAGTGGGGAAGGGTTTGGGACGTTGCAGAGTCTCTGCAGACAGTCATGTCTTACCAGAATTGTCTTCAACTGAAGACACCTGGACATGAAGATATTTGCTATCTGCATGCTATCTGACCAGCGACAGCAGGCAAGTCATCTGATGTACCACTTAACTGCTATGGCCAAGCACTAATTATAAAGCGTTAAGGAGAAGAATTAGTCCCACTTGTGTATTTTACTGTGTATCTTTTTGAACGTGGCAACTAACTCAATGTATTTGATTTTGCCATGAACCAGATGAAAAGAGAAAGACTTCCATGAAATGATTTAAGGGATATAGTCAAATTAAATCGTAGTGAAAGAAGACATCAGCGACTTAAAGATGAGAACACATAGATGGTTACATGAGAAACTTAACTGAAGTTGGACACATCGGCAGCTAAAGATTATTCCTACATTACCTCTCGTATTCTGGGATACCAGATGTGCTCAGTGTGAAGCAGCTCCGTTGTTCCATTTGTAACTGTTACATCTTACAAACAGAAAAAGACAAAACAGATTTTTATTCCTCAATCACTTTGCAAAGCTCAAGTCAAATTTCTCACAAAAGAAGTTTCTGCTGAAGCTGCATCCTGACCTCGATGGACGCAGAAAGAATCTGCAGTCCTATAAATCAAGCAATAATCTCTCCCCAATAACATGTTTACATTTTCTAAGACTTAACCACTTATTTTACCCACCGTACCACTGAGCAGGAGAAAAAATAACCCTAACTTTCAGAAATGAAGGTCAATTAGGGATTCTTTTCCCACTCCAATAAATGTGTGAACGGAGAATTACTCAATTGCCCACTAGGACTCAAACACTCTAATGTTTGTTGTTTGCTAAGTTAGGTCATACACGGCATGATGAATTGGGCTTGTGGTTAAAACCCCATCTGACAGCGTTTGGAGGTTAAAAGGTTTAAGAGCAGGATGCTGTGAAGGTTCTTTGTAACATGCTGAAGTAGTGAAAAATTACTTTGCAATCAAAGGTTATCAGGCAGCATCTTGTTTCAACAAGGTGTGTACTAGGGTACTGACAAATTCTGGAGTACTGAGGTGTCGACACGCCTGGGCCATTTCCCAGGAGCTAAATCTGACTTTCCTAAGGGGAAAAAAGGAATAAGTAAAACTAAAAAAGTTTTTTTTTCTAATAAAAAAAGACAGTAAGACTAATTAGAACAACTTCTATCCCATTGCTGTATTTCTTTTGTTGACATTTATTTAACAAGAATAAATCAAAGCAAGAAAACTACCATCAGACATTAACACTAGCATCTGCAGCATCTACCACAGGACCTTTGGTTTCCCTTAAGGTTCGCTTACACTTTACAGCTTCAGCTTAACTCATTCATAAAGTCATTTATAAACCCAGCAGACTGGACAGGGCTGTGCAGGAACGAAAACCAGCAATCTCCAAGGGTGTGCTTTTAGGAGGCTTCCTCTAGAGCAGAGAGGTGCCAAAGCTGAAACACTGCAGAAGCACGAACATTTCTTCGATTTCCTGCTCACTGCTTTCAGTTTCGGTACCAAAATGTTGGGCGTTTGCACTGTGATCTGGGTCACTGGTCACATCAAACTGGGCAAGCAGAAATTCCCATTACCTGTATTATTACATTTCCACTTCTCCAAGGAGAGGATCGCTCTGGCAGGTGCCAAGAATGCAAAAGCACTCGCTTGAAACAAGGGTAACCTGGTGGAAAAGGAAAAAAGAGATGCTGACACATTTTGGGATTACAATTCTGCATCAGGAGACCCACTGTATTTAGGTGCCCAACCTCAGACCTAAGCTTTCTTGGGAGGTCACTAACAACACAGGGCGTGAGAATTTCTCATGGGGGAAAAAAGAAAACACAGCGAAATAATAAAACTCACAGCTCAAAGGTCCTAGCAGAAGACATGACATGCGTGAAATCATCCAGGCAATGCCCGGAAGAGCGAATTTCCAGGCACGGACACGCGGGCAGTAGACACTGACCCAACACGTTTTTTGCCCCTGAAGACGAGCGTTTTGATGCAATGAACAGCCCTTGGGCTGAACAGACAGCATCTGCAGCCCTGCCACGGTGAAAGCCCTTCGGGCCAGGCAGGGAGCACCGGTGGCACCCTCCAGCTGTGTGACTCGATGTGCAGTCACTGTACGTGTCATCTTTAGGCATTATGGTAAATAACAATGACATTGCTACGTGCTGATTAGATGTTCCAGGTTGCTATCAACAACAAATAGGAACGCTGTGAGCATTTCAAGACAAGATTCTAAGCTTTGGCGTTCACACTTCCCCCAAGACTAAAGAGCGTCTGCCTCGACCAACTATGTATTTACCAAATAAGCTGCAGCTTGCATCATGGGACAAAAATCCAGATGTTACTTAACTCTAGAAGAGAGGCACTTTGAACTACTCTGTAAATACTGTCATTAAGGGATGGTAACATGATTTGCTCTAATAACCCATCTCAAACCATAGCATGTGGACCATTTGATTGCTCTTGCAACTCTAGGTCCTGCACCGAGTTTACAGCTGTTTTACAGCCGTAATGAAGTGCCTTAACGTTTGCACAAGCAGCAGGAAAGGAAAAAGATGCAGATAAGGATCACTAAGAGTCCAGGGAGGAAGAGAAAGTCCGTGGGGAAAATATTCTTAACATGCTTAACACAAGGAAGATCAAAACAGAAGCATGTTACTAACGGCAGTTGTAAAAAGTCACATGCAGGAAGCTGAAACAGCTGAGTAACTGGAAAGAGCTGGGGCTGTGAGCAGGCTAAAAAGAAGTCCTGTGTACTGCAAGTTTTGAAAATGTCCAAATTTCAGACTTCATAAAATGCACGAGCCACCTGAGCACATTAATTCCCTAATAAGTTTTTTTTTYCTAAAAAAATGTAAAATCAATACCTAAATCCAAGCTGTCTCTTTGGCATAGCAACCGTGCCCATGATGAGTGAATGATTCACCTTCTTTTTCAAGGTTCGTTAGGCAAAACTGAGCAAGCTGGTGCCCATGGCCAAGTATGCAATACCTGAAACAAGCTGTTACTGCTCTGCTCCACCTACGCGGCGCTCCGTCCCCGTCTAATGATTTTGCAAATGGGCATTGCAACCACATTCTCCAGCTGTGAAGTCAGTTGTCCCGAGACTTCGCTCCAGACCCAAGCTTTGAATTGCGCAGAATACCCTTTAAAACAATCTTGCACAATCTCAGTTTGGGGGTAGAACATACAGAAATTGCTGGGGGGCATCTGAACTCTAAATTAGCCCTTTAAAARTAATATACTCCTGTACAATGAGTATTAAACACCCCAGACAGAACATGTAGGATGAATCAGCTTTGCTGTATGCAACCCAGAAGCCATTAGTCTCCTCCTACAATAAGGCCTAACTTCTTGATGTGAAAACTTAAGATTCTTGAGTTTGAAAGAGAAAGTTGCAGAGTTTTAAGGGGAGCGAACAGCTAAGAAGTCAGAAACTGTCATTCCTTCAGAAACCACCTTTTGGATGAAGTGTTCAGAAAACATTCCTAGGAGGAATGTTTCCTCCTAGGAGGAGTGAAAGGTTTGCACTGCTTGTTTAAATGAATGGCTACTCAGACTCTCAAATAAAATACCAATAATAATACCAATAAGTGTTCAACTACCTTTCTTCTCACAGAAAAGAAAAACAAGGCAAACCCTCTAATTTATTAAGTTTTTTATTACTCCAGCCAACCACAATGAGTATCTACCCAGGCAGAGAGCTGCAGACTGAAACACATTTTATGAAATGGCTTTCCCACTGCTAAGCCAGGCATTTGTGTCAAGCGCTACCTCATATTTGGAATAACATTTGATTTTCATGTCCAGATTATTAGAACGATATTTTGGCATCTGCCTGGGTGACAACAGAGCTCCCCCTGCCATTAAAGCCGTCTGGAAGTGCTTTAGTTATCCTAACGTTTGACACAGATGGAGCGATGCCTACAGAACCCAGTGGTGGGCACAGCAACAAACCAAAAGTAGTACATTAATGCTCCATTTGATGGTCTCAGTCATAGAAATTGCCATGACTCTTTGCCCAATCTTCTAGCTTACATAATCCAATAAATAGCTCAAATTCCTAAAATTAGTATGGGCACCAAATCGACCACGATGACTCCTTGCTATGGAGCCAATTCCATCTTCAAGGGCCTCTAAACCATGGAATTTGACCTTTGGAAAGCAGTGTAGCTTTATTTGCTGAAATACTTCTTAGTCAAGGGGCCTGCCAATAAATACTTTTGAGTCTCACTTACAGAAGGCAGCTGCTATAGCCCAGTCCCACCCTTATATAAAGTCAGGATCACATGCTGAAGTTGCAAAACCTTCAGCCACTCAAAGTTCCTCCTGAAATACTTAAGCCCCTGATTCTTAAGGTCCAAACACCAGCAGTTCAGTTTACAAAACAGGCCTTTCACAGGGCAATGGAAGCCACTGGAAAGGATTAAAATATAATGGATGAAGAAGGAAGAGGTGGGAGAGCATTTCTTAGTGATGGCACCAGACCATTATAGTTAGTCATTTCTTAGCGATGGCACCAGACCGGAGTATTTCTTAGTGATGGCACCAGATCTGCTTAGGCAAGAACCCAGGTTTACTCCACAGCAACAATAAGGAAAAAGGTGCCTAAGATGAGTTCAAAAAGAAGGAAATCCCCCAGAGAGCCCAAACTTGAGTAAAGAACTCTCAGGAAGTGTTAAAAGCTCCTTCTGATGAMGTTGAGGCAGAAGGAAAACACTGGGGGTGCAGCTACAAGTGATATACCCTAGGCTTTGCCTTCCTTACCCCTCAGAGATAACCTTCCACACACAGCAGCTCTGTTTCTTAGATAAATTTTAAAAACCGTGGGAGGTTTTAGGTCTGTTTCATAGCAGAACTCAAGATTTTAGCCCCTGCTGTCCCCAAGTTAAACTCGATGACACGAGCTGTTCAAAACGTTACAGAAGGGCAGGCTAATACAATATGCACTTTTCTTCTGGTATTATTTATCTTTCTCTGTTTATTCAAGAAGATGCAAAAAATAACTCTGCGGGTTCTATCTATGGCTGGTTGTCACAGAGACAGTCAACAAAAGTTTAAGTAAACATTACATTAAATAACTCTGTAGTGTTTACTGTACAACTCTCATTTTATAATAAAAATAAGTTTTAACTTCACATAAATAAACCCCACAATATACATTTTTTTTAAAACAGCAACAGATTATTACAAATATTCGTATGACCTAGTATCGTGTCTGGCATCCCTGCAGGGAGATCAGATTGAAAGATCCTTACAGGAACTGCTGTAAGACAACACTAACATATACATTTGCTTCCCAGCTCACTGAAGGAGCCTTCCGTGCAGCTCACGGTGGCTGGCAAACAACAGCAAATACTTTGTTGTAGGGGCAGGGTAACACTCAGAGACGCTAGATTTGGAGAACAGAATTTGCTTGCGGTCTTTTCTCCCTGCATGTGTGCAGGGCTTTTGGGAAACAAAGTTCAAGGGTCTTTGATCAAGTTCAGAAACAGGCTAAGAATGTCTCTCCCACCCAAAGCCACCTTCATTGGAAGGCAGCAGGGCTGAAGGTTGACACGTCAGCTTTGACTCCCCTTACCCCATGGCGTGGCTCCAGAGACCCCACCATTTTAATGCAAGTGCTTTACCAAAATAAAGCAAGCACATAATATGCTTTGGGATATCCCCCAACAACTATTAATTTTCTTGAAGAAAAAAAAGGAGTATCCTTCAAGAAACTGACAAAAATAAGTAGCCTCTTTAAAAGGGAAGATGATTTTTTTCTTTCTCCCAGAAATAATTCTGTTTTCTCCGTCTTCATGGCATTCTCTTTCCTCTCCTTCCTCCCCACCCCACGGCTGTACTTTCTTTACCCTGGAATATTTTCTCTTATTTCGGACCCACCTTTTTTGGGGAGAAGCTTTCCAAAAGCTTGCATGAACTATCTCACATTTCAAGTTTATCCTTCGGAAACAGACTGATTACTTCTTGGATCTCAAACTACATCCATGAAATTCCAGCACAGACATAGCCTCATAAGCACCACCTCGACCTCCAGGAACATGCTCCAGATCTCACCTGCACCCAAAAGTAGTTTGTAACAACGTCGTGATGCCCACACAGAAGAAAATGGTCCCAATCAACTGGCTGGTAGCCCACTGGTCAAATCCAACACACATGGCATCAGCTAGCAAAAAGGGCACCGCTATCGTTCCACTGAAACACGTTAAGTAATGCTGTGAACAGAAAATACATGTTTAATACTTCAGCAGACATTTTAAAACTCTTTTTATGATCATGTCCTCTTGCATGCCTGGTTTTCTTTTTGCTTTTAAGTTATAGCCCCCTGTCTTTCATTTTTCTGACACTAAACATTTTGTCTGGCATTTTACCGTCCATGTTTAGCTAGCGTTAGGTTGCTGCTAATGATCCCAGTTTATGGAGGATCCACAGGATTATTTATATAGCTCCACGGCTGCTGATCTTGATCAGGTTGTATCTAGGTAACTGTGCTGAAAGGCAACTTAGCAAAGCAGGTAAATAGCTCCGTTCATTTTCCACCACGTGAAAGACCATTAGCTTACAAATGAACCTAGCGCACAGTTCAACTAGGCTGCAATTAAGTGCCCAAGCACCAGAAAGCAGCTCCTCATTAATTCTTTTCCAGTCCAAATACAGAGAGCAAACAAACAAACAACGATCCCCACATGCAGCAATCCAGGCGAAAAAAGAATCCCTGGAGAAGGGCCTGCCCTTGGGGAAAGGCAGGAATAAAAATGATGCTTCTGAATGTGCTCGGCTGAGGATCTCCACATACTTCAGAGATGCTAATAAATTCTTGGCATTCCTGTGGGGTAGTTTTTTATTAGCATATGAGAAAGGAGATGATGGGAGTTGCTCCACAACAAGCAAGCGGCTGAGCTGGCAGTGAGGTGCAGCACTTGGCACCCTCCGGTAGTCGTCACCATGCATAGGGCTTGCAGAAATGACACAGACACAGTAGCTGCCTTAACATTCAAGGTGCCAGCACTAAACCACTCACTCTCTCCATCTTTTTGTTCCAGGAGGTGGCATGTCACCTTCTGAAGCTTTAACACAGAGTGTTTGTTCTCTTAATTTAACCAAGCAGCAGCTATAAAAGCTAAATATTTAAGTGAGTCACACAAATACACATGCCAGTGAACAGTGATATAGGTCATCATCAATAAAAAAAAATACTGAGAAAACATTAAAAAAAATTAAACAATATTTTAAGACATACCTGCAACCCTAAAAATATGCAGAGGTACCAGGGCGGAACATCTTCAATAGTGTAAATCATGTCAGTTCTCTGTGCGTCCAGACTGCCACTGCTGTCCAACGTCTCTGCCAGAGAGCTCTGCCAAACATTGGGGTGAAGGACACAAAACACAACCTCAAGTTAACGTTGCATAAGAATCAACGGAGTTTGAACTGTCAGCAACTCCTAAGCGCTCTGAAATTGAGGTTTTACTTTCAAGCAGCCTTGATACGTTGCATCTTTAGAAGTCTTTTACCTCCACATGCACAAGCCTCTCTCCAAGCTGTCCCTCCTGCATTTGCACCAGACTTGTTTGTATAAACCATTCCCTGCTTATTTACACTAAACACAACAATTGTTCCTTTTGGATATAACCAATCTGTTGGCCAAATGGTGCTATATAAAAAAAAAAAAAAAAAAAAGGATCATTATGACAGACTTGTTTATGCAAAGAAAAAGAAAAAGGAAGTATAAAAGTGACTATAGTGACTATGTCAAAGTAAAACAGCTTCTCTTGCATAAGAGCCCTAAATCACGGGCAAGGAAGTTCCTTATTATTATGAAAGCTGCTTCCCAGCTTAATTCTTGCTCCATTTTTGTCTTGGTTAACTATTTTTGGACACAAAATGTATTATTTTTGTGTCTACCCAGCACTGGAGCACAAGGGAGAAACCCTCATTGTTGCAACTGCCACTGCCAGCCTATAAAAGCCAAGTAAACTTGTTCCAGCCCTGCAGGAAACTGCAGATCAACCACGGTCTGGCCTTCTCAACAGCCAAGTGGGATTGTTTCCTCTTAGCTCCTCTCTTTTGCGAGGCCTAAGAGCAGAACACAAAGCTCCAAAGACTTAATGCCAGCAACAAAAGCAGGGGGAAGTATCAGATTTTATCATTTCGCTACCAGGAGAAAACCTTATGTAACTACTGTGCTGACCTAATCCAGCGCTAAGCTCACGTGAAGCAGCCTTACACAAAGGCTGGGAATTTTGCTGGAGTTATTTTTGCCTGAAATGGTCTGAATTTCTTCAAAATCACAACACATGTACGGAATAGGCTTAGGTAATCTCCATTTGGTTTATCATCTACAAGGTCAGAGCAAGCAAGCGACCCGTGGTGTTTCCCTTTCACCTCCAGCTTCTGTTGAGGAAACAAATGCCACTGAGTTACGTGGGTTAAACTGAATTCAGGAGCGTGAATTATCATGTGGAGTTATGGAAAGATGGATGGAAACTTGAAATTTTGAAGAACAAGTGATATAGGGAAGACTTTCTCACACAGTGCTTGGGTCACAGCAACTGCTCATAGCTTCATCAAGTGCYGGACTGAAGAGATCAGCATTGCTGGGGCCAATTTTGCAGCGGCTACTTAGAACTCAACGTAGTGATAATACGGATCCCCTTTGCATTTTAATCAGAAGCAGTTGCAGGTATGCTCTTCATCTCTTAGCTAATGAAAGATCAGCAAAAACACAGCTCTAATCCTTGTAACAGCATACAACCTTGCAGGATATTCCTCCCTCCCTCCAAAAGCCAGGCTTATCCTGGTGTGGCAGCAGCAATTTTCAATTTTATCAAACCTTTAGATAAGACCTACAGGGAGCTGACCTAAAAGATCCCAAGATTGAGCAGTAGAGGAGCTTGGAACTAGGAGTGAGGAACAGCAGCAACAGATGAAGGTTCCTGTATGAAATGGTAGTGGAAAGGGCTAAGCAAAAGCTGAGGAACTGTGAGGAACAAGTAAGAAGCCTTCGGAGAAATTAATCTGTGCCATCAGCTCTGTATTTGATTAAGCAATAAGCAGTGCACTACTGTTTATTTTGTCAAGATGCATCACTGGAGTTATTGCTCGTGTGGGCTAACAGTTTATTGTTGGAGCTAACAAATATTGCGAGAGAATGTGAGCAAAAGGCACCCTCGGGCAATTCAGCTCATTTCAGCTCTCTCTTTTATACAGGGTCTTCCGCTTGCCTTTTTTTGTCGAATGATATCTTAAGAGGAATGGAAAGCCAAGAATAATCATGCTTCATGCACATACTGTTATTTTAAGTGAAAAAACAAGAGAYTTGGCAAGATTAGCAGAAATACTAGCCTCAAACGCTATCTTAATACATGAGAGTGCTAATTGTTAAAGCCCCTCCTTTCACTGTTCATTATTTTAAGACTCAGTGAAGGTTTAACTCAAGCAGATTTGGTCGATTAAAAGCTCACTGTCTTCTTATGGCATCTTATCATCCGTCATTCACAGTTCCGATTATGTGGAGCGAGCGAAAAGGAGAAAAAACACAGGTTTGGAAAAAAAAAGGACATGAAGACAAGCTTTTATTTCTAGAGATCACTAATCTAAGTTGCACAATTTCATCCCAAGCTCAAGGCTTTTATCAGATTGTCTCTCTATGCTAGTCTCAGCATGACTCAATCAGACAACATCCACATGAGCAGTTGCCATAATTTGCCCATTAAAACATTAGTGTTATCAAAATGGTAGTAGAGATGCATTCAATATAGACCTCTACATATAGACTAGCTGCAAGAAAGGGAGAGACTAAATCAGATACGGCTGCAGCGTTTAAAAAGTTCCTCTGAAGTGTAACATTACAAAGTCTCCGTGAGAATTGCTTGTTTAAGCTACAATTTTACTCTCAACCTTTTTTTCCCAAAGCTGTCAGAAAATCATAAGCAGTCCTCTAGTTGGAAAAAAAGGATTAGAAAATTAAGTGCATGATGCTAAGAGTTTGGAAGAGGCTGCTGCACTGGGGACAGACTTTCAGAAGGTGCTGCACACTACCAGTTTACTTGCCTAAAACAAATGAAAAATGCAAACAACTGAAGAACAGAAGAACCTTATCAGGAAAATAGTGTAAAAGGCCAGTTGAAATGAAGAAATACCCCAAACTGCCTACTACAGATTCAGATGGTAGGTCAAAGTGCATAACCCACTCCTAATATTTGCAGCGTCAGTCCCCGAATTCTGTAATCACATGTGCAACTCGCAGAGGGAAAAGTGGCCAAAGCCTGATGTGAACCTGCACGTCAGCAGGTTTGAGGAGAGAAAGTCAGTCAGAGTTAAGTAAAACTTGGCTGAACAAATATGAAAGCTGAAAAAGCAAGGCTGGATTCTCCCATGGAAGAGAACTGTGATGTACCTTTTCTGCTATCCCATTTTCTGTAGTATAGATTGCCATCAGCTCTGTGTCTTCAGTATCCTGATCGCCACTAGACGTTGCTCCCCCATTTATCACAACCTTAGAAAAGGAACAAAAAAAAACAAAAAACCCAACATGAAGAACACAGAAATGAGTAGAAGACATCTTCTCTGCATCTGCAGCTCATGGCGAGTACAGGAGTACAACAGTTTGCTGTCAAGTACAATACTGAAAATCTAAAAGAGCAAAACAAGACAAGGAAAAGACAAGGAAATTTTGCAGTTCTTCTTCCAGACGGCCGACTCAAAATATGCTTCTCTCGGGGCTGATGCTTGCTTAAGCACGAAGGTCTGTTCTTCCAACCCAAGGCCACAAACTGCCTCATGAGATGCACGTTCTACATGCTCAGCACTGCTTCAGAGCACATGCTTGACATAACCATAGAGAAGACAACTGGCTACAGGTTTCCACGGTTTTAGCTGACTTGTAGAAGTGATTTCAGATCCTTTCAGCAACAGAAACTGAAGAAATACGTTATTCTTGTTATTTTAGTCCTGGGAACCAAAGGATTACAAGCCCTTCTGTAAAAGTGGATAAACAAACAAACAAGAAACTAACCAAAACCACACAAGTGTGTGTACATATATATATAAAATACATATATTTACATAAAGGTTTTGTACAGCACAACTACAGTCAATGATTCATGTTAGCCTTGAGTGTTGTGTTTCTAAGATACATTACTTACGGGCAGAGTGAAAAAGGTGGGATGTTTAGATTCATCCTCATATTTGCCTTCTGTTGAGCCTCCTGTCTCCACCGCTTTCGACGTGGTGTTCTTGCCAATCCCCATGGTTTCCAGGATGTCCAGGACTTGCATACAGTACCCAGTCAGATGCTGTTGGAGATGACAGAGCAGGTACCACCAGCACCAGTTCTTACTTAAACCGCAGCACCTCCAGGGATTAGACAAGAGCTGAGTAATGCAGCTGAAGCATCAGGGTCTTCTTCATATCATTAGCATCAACAGCACCTAGAAACAGAGGTGACTTCAGTTTCTCATGATTAGCTAAGACGTATGCACCAAACACACGTCCTGCAAAATTTGTCTCCCTTCATGCTTAACATTCATCTACTTGTATCGTTCCTGGAATAATGAAATTCTCCCATTCTTCTCTTGTGGTCTTTAATTACTATTGGCACTTAATTTTTTTTTTTTTTTTTTTTTTGGATGGCTAAATAGTTTGCTACATATATCGCTTGTAAATAATACTTATACTTTGTCAGAGAACTAAAATTTGTGGATCTATGAGTCTCCTTCTGAGCCAAATCCCTCCCTTTAACATAACTTATCATTAAACAAAAACTTTCCCAGCTTACATTAGCCTGACAGTGAACAATGTCGAGCACACGAAGCCGTAAGTGCCTCACATTCAATGACCTCTTCCAAGCAGACAGAAACTCGTTCTGTTTGTACATCCTTAGCCAAAATTATTCCATTTTCTTGAGGGACTTACGAAGTTATCTGCCTCATGACGCAGAAGCGACTAATTCAGGATAAACCTCAGCCTGCCTTTCAATTAGCACCACTACTGGCTTGGCACAGGAAGAGGAAAGATCTTACAGAGCATCCTGGTTCACTTTTGCTTTAGCGGATGGGACAATACCATATAGTTTTCTCACATTTATTCCTTAAAACAGATGGGCCAGGACATAATCGTTCCCATTCGGGGCCATTTCCAAGGCTGAGCGGCATGAATGAACAGATTTGACCACTTCCCACAGGACAGTGTGACAAATTCTGTGAGAGACGCAGGGCTGCAGCCTCCGGTCTCATCCAGCATCAGGAAGGGGAGCGCAGCTGCAGACAGGGGAGGATGAACCAAGCCAAGCTATAGACCTGGAAAATGCTCTTTTCATAATCATGGAGCGACGTTCTGGGCAAAAACACCCAAGAACATATTTAGGCAGCAACACCCTGGGCACACCAGGGTGGCTTCTAAAGCACGTTAATGACATTTTTAACTACACTGTTGCCAGAGGTTGAAATGCAGCTAATGGATATTCAAGAAAACTCAGCACACAGATACTAGAAAACCCCAAAAGTAGCTTTTAAACCCTTCCAAAACACTGTCCAAGAAAATGCCAGCAGCTCAAACATCTCCTGTAATTGCAAAAATAATTAAGCTTGACAAAATCCCTTCTGCTAAGGGCAATTTAGGACGGCTTGAAAAATTACAGAGTACTAATATTTTAGAGCCTCTTAATAGCTGTTAATTACCCATTTGCTAGAAAATTCTGGCTACTTGAGAAGAAAGAAGATWGTTATCTTTCAAAGTGATTTCTTGAAGAGAGAATATATACATACATAAGATATACTAGATGGCCCCCAAAATGCCCTTGAAGCATTCCTAATTAAAGTAAAATGAGATGGAAAGTAGCATCTTCTAATACGGATTTAATTAAGACTTTTTTTTTTACAGTCAATATTAAGATAGAATAATTAATCATTCCTCTCAAATTCAAGACTACAGGAGAGAACTAGTTCATGTACTTGAGATTATAAATGTATTTCAGAAAAAAAGAAGGCATTTCAGTTGAATAACCACACTACTTTTGTATACTTTGAAAACTGAGACATTTTCTCCATTTTTAGTGTGGAGATATGAAGGTTCCCCCCCCCCCCAAAAAAAAACAAGAGAGAAAAAAAAAGGATCATAGAATCATAGAATGCCGAAGGTTGGAAGGGACCTCAGAGGTCATCAAGTCCAACCCCCCTGCTCACGCAGGGTCACCTAGAGCACGTGGCACAGGGCTGCATCCAAGCGGGTTTTAAAGATCTCCAAAGAAGGAGACTCCACAACCTCTCTGGGCAGCCTGTTCCAGTGCTTTGTCACCCTCAAAAGGAATTTGCCTTTTTGTTTTTATTTATTTATTTTAAGTCTCCAAGAAGAACAGTGGTGGGGACAGGCTTGGCTTCCTCTGGTAGCTTTATAATCTCAAATATGGAAAGAAAAGGGGRAAAAACGTCTGAATCTCCCTCCAAAAATACTGTCGCGGCAGCAAAACATTAGCGTAAAAGTTACACCAGCAGGAAATCTGTCTTTCTGGAGACCCAGCTTAAGGTATTCTGGCAAGATAATCACCTTAGGCAGCATTAACCAGCATCGCCAGCGATGGCCAGGCAAGAAGAGGGTATAATCTTATTCTACCTTGCATTGCAAGACACTAAGACCTGCTGTCTTCAAGTAAGACAGGATAATTCCTTGGGAATTGTTCTTCTGGAATGTATCACGGGAACACATAAAGGGCAACTCCTAGTTATTCTTCTCAGGAGAAGCACAAGAGCTAGGACGAAACCACTGTGATCTCCAAGAGGAAGGTTCCCAAAAAGCAGCATTCAAATTAACACACAACTTTTGGTGACTTCTGCTCAGCATTGAACTCGGGCCTATATGGCACAGTAGTCAACCACAGATCTTCAGAAAAGTTGTATTCTACCACCAGAACCATCAACTCAAACCTATAGGCAGCAGAGAGGGCTGCCCAAAAGAGAGTTGTTCTTTATCAAACCTCTCATCCTACCAACTGACAACAGCTAAATAAGGATACTTGGATGTTCTATCCCAAACAATCCCAACCCATGAGAAGCAGAAAAGCAGCATATCAAGAGATAAAATTCCTTCTTTAGAGAGATAAAAAGATCAAATTTAGATAAGTACATGAGGTTATCTGCTGCTTGGGATCAAATGGAAACGTGAGAAACGAAACTGCAGCCAATACATTGATTAACAGCTCTCGCTGTATCAAATTGCCTTCAATACCTGTACAGGATTAACTGGGAAAGGCCAGAAGCTCACAGTGGTTCACAGTGATTTAGATAAAGTCAGTATTGACAGACATAATCTACTGAATGGAAACGTCCACATGCCAGCTTGGCAGCTGCAGCACTGAGAAGCAAGGCTGTGTTCAGGATCCGCCGCTAATCCTCTCATGCTCATCTCCCAGCATGTTCAACAAGCAGCCCTGCAGATTAACCCTTTGGAATTATTAAGTGGTTAATGAATAACAGTGGTCCCCTCCTCTCTGCAGGAGAAATGGGGCAACTGGCCTACACTTGGTGGCTCTATGCTGCTGAGCAGGGGATATTTTTGTAGAGGAAAGGACACCACCCAGAAACAGGTGTCAGAAGACCCAATTCTCTAGAGCGTAGGGATGGAAAAGCTCCCGGGAGCACTCAATGGAGGTCTGTGACTTGGTGAGACGGCTCAGACCAGAAGAAGGAGCGGAGCAGGATCCAACCCGGGACCTTCTTGGCTTTTACAGATGGCTGATGAGCCAAAGAGCTCTGTCTGCAGCACTCGATAAGGAGATTAGAATCAAATTAAGGTGATAGCTTAATTATAAACTCCAAATTATTGTTTTTAATTAGCTCTCGGGCTTATGTGAAGCTCAACCAGATTCTCCCGCAAGTGGATGCTCAACCAGAAGTTGTCCAACCCAACAACCATGCTTAATTGCCCCTAAATTGTAGATACATTCAAAACATGTTAGGAAAATAACCTGGACTATGGGGGATCTCAAGTTCGACCAATTCCAGTGGCAGCTTCACGTATTTGCCACTTCTGAAAAATAAGCACACCATGTGTCTAAAYACAAACCAAGGAGTTTGAGAACGTATTATTGCCAACAGACGCCAGACAGAAACTTTGGGGTATTTTGTTGTCAAAACACATCCAGTTTGGAAGTGGAGCAGAACACACTGCTGGTTTTGAAATCTTGCTCACTGCATCAGTCCCTGGTTCTACATGTGCTACGGAGACGTTCCCAAAAAGGATCCGCTACGGGCTGCAAGTCAAGATGAACTGCTAGTTCCTGCAGCGTCAGACAGCCACAAAAACACTGCGCCACCAAACGCATTGTGGTGTCATTCTTTAGTTTATAGATACATCAAAAAGTGTATTTAGGCCGAGTTGTTTAATATTACTCTACAGCAACGAACAGCAACGAAGATGCAGGAAGAAGCTGCATCCTGCAGCACAGCGCTGCCTGCCAGCTGACACTCATCAGGAGAGGGGTCGGGGGAGAGAACCAGCAGATGAGCCGCTGGGATGAGCCGGGATCTATCCCAGGAGATGCTGACTGCCCAGGAGGCAGCAGGAGGGAAGCCAAGAGATCACACATGTTTTGAAAGAAATGCCTTTGCCGAATGGCCGCAAACGGATTAGGGCACCAGGACTGCTTTTAAACTCAAAGCGGACAATTAGGGAATTTTGGAGAGGCTCCAATTAGACAAGTCTGCTTACAGGGCGCAGTTATCCCTGGCCAGACAAATGATTACACACAATGCAATTCCCAGTTAATTATGGAACAGCAGCTCCATCCAGGTTATCGGCTCCAGTTAAGCCAGTTGTGCAAAAATTCTCCTCTGATTTTGACCCATTAAAGTATTAAGAAACAAAGACTCCACTTCCTGTTATTAAACACACCTGGCCTTGCCCACATTAAATCAGAGCCGGGGGCATTGGGATTTGTGTTTACGCTCGTCATCACCTTCGCAAGTCCCGAGTTATCCCAATTTTCATACCAGGAAAGCCTCAGAGCCTCCCTGTCCTTTTCTCAGCCACAGCCATCTGTGCCCGCTAACAGAATTAACACATTAATTCAGAGAAATTTCAGTTGCTAAAATGAAGCAGTGCTTTCTCAGAAAAACAAACACAAACGACCAAATTAGAAGTGATCAAAGGAAAGCACTTAGTATCCATCTGGCTCAATGCAGTCCAAAACGTTGCTGTTTTCCTCCAAAGCAAGCAGGTCCGTTTTACAAAGGAGTCATCACCACACACCTCATCCATGGGGCTGAGAAAAGCCAGTTGGGACTCAGCACCATGCAGACAGAACCCTGGGTACAGAACCCAACCGCAACCGCCTCAGCCCAGCCCCGTTGTTACCCCTCGAGACGGGCGCTCGGCCGCGGCTCCRCGGAGCTCCCTGCCCACGCACTGGCCTGGCACAGAGCTGAGCCCAAAGGGCATTTTTTTCCGCTTCGCAAGAGTTGTTGACCGTCTTACAGCCACGGAAAAGGCTGCGGAGCACCTACATTTTGCTTTTGTTGCTACATGCAGCAAAACCACCTTCAGGCTTCAGCCTGAAGCAAGGCGATTCCTTGGGCGATTTTGTAAGTGAGCCTCTCTGATCAGAAAAACTCTTAGGATTAGTCTCTACTCACTGCACCCAGATTTCCTTTCCCTTAAAGGGCACCAAAAAAACATCATTTCTTTAAAAGCTACAGATGGCTCCCTGCTCCAGTGAAGAGCAAGGAGATCCATAGGTATGAAAGAAGAGTACTTCAAATCAGCAACATTAAATAAAGGCATCATTCCCCTTCACCTGCGTTAGAAGTGGACAAAGCACTGCTAATCATGCCAAAGCTTTCTAAAAGTCAAGCTTTTAAAAATAAGATTTTAAAAGTTACTGTAAGGAGGCTTGGTCCTGAAATCGGTTTCGCGCTTTGCTTCAAAGCCAGTCTTCAAAGAGCAAACGGGCTCTTTCTTTGGAGGCACTAATGAATTTTTAAGCAGTTGGTATTTTGACTGCCGGCCAGAACTGTACGTCTTAGCAGTTGACCAACAGGAGAGCATGTCTGCACAAAGACATGCAGGAAAGTTAGGAGTTCAAACCTTCTCTCCATTTAAAGCACATTAGTTAAATCTCATTAACTTCCCGGGTGAATGAGCTTGTTCAGCAGCTGCCTTAAATCCAACTGAATGAAATATTTAACAAAAGATTGTACAAGCTTTACAAATTAGTTGATCAATCAGTTGATCAATATTTTTTCTTCTTCTTCAGAATGGTTAATTAAACTATAGTTTGAAACAAAGATATGTAAAACAGGAGTATTTCCAAGACGTGGGACAACCTGAAGGGACGTGTTTGGTTTCAAATCACTTGTCAAGCTTTTCCTTGCTCATCTTCTGCCCCACTTCTCTCTGTATTTACTGCTCCCATAGGCAAAAGTTATGCCAAATTTCCATGCACTGTGTGCACCACTCTCTGTAAGAGAGTTAATTGTCTGTATTAAGAGACCTAATGGAAGGCCAAGGGAAAAGTTCACAGGAGAAACTCACAAGGTGCTAGAACATCTTTCTGAAGGTATAAGCAAAATCCAGGAGATGCAAATCAAGACACAGCTTGGTAACAGGTGATAACAGGTGACCGATATCAAGTAACACCTTTAACATTCTTAACCATGGTCAACACAAATGAAATGCCTCAGTTTGCTTTAAGAAATGTATTACTGCTTCATAATCTTTTAGTCAGAACACCTGCCATGGTGCTTATGGCACAAGTTAAATCAGGTGAAAATAGTATCGGCCTTCAGAGTTTCCCTGTGGTGCATTAATAATTAAGACTTCAGATAYCTCCACATTACTATGGATCTTAATACACAGCTCATTAAGCTCCTGCACCGTGCCATCTGAACACACATTGGTTCCTTTCTTATCTTGCTTTGCACTTCTTCCTGGTGCTTTCATGTAAGCTACTTTCACTCGAGACCCTAATCATGTTAAAACAAAGGTAAAGTTAGAGACTCATCTAGGAAAAATTCCATTTATTAAAACAAACCTGGGTAACGTGCCAGCTTTTTCAACCCTGCATGTGAAGTTTCTTTCCAAAGAATTAAGCATTCCGGGGTCTACTTTTGAGTCTCCTGGCTCAAAGAAAATCTTTAGTCTCGTAAGCAATATAAAGCCTCCTGTTTACACACTTAATTCTGTTATATAGAATTGTTCCATTAAGTTTAACTTTAAGTAAATATTTTCTTTCCACTTAACAATCTCCTATATTGCAGATATTTTACATCAGATTTCCAAAAACTAACCAAGACGCTACACTTCTGTGGGCAGGCATTTTTAAATCCTGTTCTTATTGTAAGAACCTCATGCAATTTTCTCTCAATTTGAAACTAAAAGGAAGACAAAATGCTCAGGTAAACACGAAAGACTGTAAATACTCACTCTCTCTCTCTCTCTCTCTCTCTCTCTCTCTCTCTCTCTCTCTCAGTAACACTAATATTTTTTAAATGAAAAGTCTTCAGATCCTTAAAATACTGAAAWTTAGCTATTCAAATCCTACTCTTAGTGTGATTTTCATCTTGCAATAATAATGCTCACACTAAAGCAGTTCAATATTTCTAACAATCCCCAGTGACGCCTGAATTGGAAGTAGCTCTTACCTTAGGAAACCTGCACTAGACTTCCAGGGCTCGTCCCAGTCAGCTCCTCTACAGCATTTCTTCCAGCCTATGCAAAGTGCAAGAGCTCAAGTTGCAAGTCACCGTCTGAAAGGATGCAGACATAGAGAAGAAGGATTTTTATAATCTGGTTGGGCTCACTACATTGTATAACTGTACTTTGTCCAATCAAAACTGCCGGGCATTACACAACAGCCGAAATACAGAAAGACACCCCACGGCCGTACACTGTTACTACACATCCTGGCCATAGACACGATCTCTGAGTAACGGCAGAGCGTGTACAAATCAAACCAGCAACCCCAAGGGCTTTCTGTGACCTGCAGCATGATGGGCAGAAAAGTCAGCAGAAGAGACAGCCCCCAAAATCAAGCCAGGTAAATATTTACATGCCTGAGAGCTGTGATGAGGATGGTGATTTTCTGCCACCTATCTCCATGATGAGCAGCGAGCGACTCTAGAACCTCAAGTTGTGTGACTTGCAAGRGAATATATAAAGTAGTAATTAGGCAAGCTTCAACAGAAAGTCGCTGACCTCAGAAGTCATATCTCCAATACAAGGTTAATTTCAGGTTTTGGTAAGCTCATTAAAATATGCAGTATACGCTGTGTTGGGCTCATTCATGCAACTAATAGAGAAAGTTAAGTAAAAGTGATGCTCAAATTCCTAGGACAAGGTTAGGGAGAGAGGCAAGAACAAAAAAAGTGAGACTTGAAACATCCAAAAATCATTAACAATATAGGTAAAAGCCCAGTACTGAGTCATGAGCTCACCTTGCCTTAAAAGGCACATTTTGAACCCAACTTTGGGGAGGCAAAAGGCAAGCCAGTGGCGCCACCTGTAGCTCTCTCCCCTTAAGGAGCTAAGGGAGCAAGCTAAAATTTTGTTAAGGGGCTGCCACATTTTGCTCCCTTGTTTAGCTCAAAACCTGAAGGCTCTGGCTCACCAGCAGATCAAAAACTGGCATGCGCTTTTCCCTCAAGCAAGGAGGGAGCTACTGAATAAGGGAGTTTTCATTGAAAATTGATACTTCCTACATGCAATACAGCTTGTTCATCACTTGCTAAGACCGCAAAGGAAACCAATGATCTCCACTGACAACTTTCTGCAATGTTTGCATATTAACAAAATCACACTGGCTTCTAAAATTAACTTTCACTGAAAAAGCTGAAAAGTGACCTCCTCCACCTACTCCTTTTCTATTTATTAGGTTATTTCTTCAGTTCTTAACTTCTGAATCCCAAGTGTTTTTGCTCACACAAAAGCAGAACTAATAAAGCTCCTAATAGTTCAGATGTCTTCTCTTAAACGCAGCTTCCATAACCCATATGGACTGATCGGATTGCAGGTTTTTCGAGTTAAATCACACACAGCAAACAGGTAATTAACCACTAATGAACTTCAGATGAATGTTAAGATTCAACTCCTGCAGCCAGGTTTTCCAGACAGTGGATTATCTCACAAGGCATAACGTAAATGTAATATTCTGCAATATTGTAAATGCCAGGAGGGAACAAACTGATGAGGTAAACTAGAGGTGATATTCTGAGTTAGAAAACTTACTTTGGGACCATCCTTCACAACTTTGCTACATTCGGAGGTCAGGCAACAAGTCACCTACTACTCTATTGAAAACTGCTTTCTCTATCCGTAAGGATGAGACAAAATAGCTAATTCATCATGATGGAGGCTGATACCAATATGACCCAGCAATGGCAACTGCCCAGCAACTAAATCGCTCCTTTGAACCTTCACATGTTGTCTGGTGATAACAGGAAAAACAAACACACCAAAAGAAAGGGTTCGCCTGATGCAATCACTGATAAATTCTGGAGCAGAGCACCTCTCCTTGCAGGTTATCTAAAACAAACAAAAAAGAAACAGAAAACCAATGGGGTTCTGACAAAGCAGATGCCTCACATACACTGACCTGCTGGAAGGCCCTGCTCTGAGGACAAGGCTTTCAGAAAAAGGCAGATGTCACGTGCAAGAACATCTTTTCCAGTAGCAGAGTGAGGTATAGGATGCCTCATCTGCAGCAGCAAAATAAACCTCTCTACTACAGTTTGGAGTAGTCTGTCTAGCAAAGTCCTAACACACTTGGAATTCCTTAGGTCAAGAAATTGAATTCTTTGAGCAGCCTCCCATGTTATCCTCTAGAATGCATTTAACACAGCACAAAAACAAGGGCATTGCACATGGGGGGAATAAACAGACCCGCTTCCACTAATTTTTAAAGAGCAGGAAGAGAAGGCCGTTAAGTCTGATCTTACCGAGACATGCATAAATCCACTGAATTATAAATTTGCTGGAAAAGCACTTCACAGAAGATGCCCTTTAACACAGAAACATTCAATGTTCTCTTCTTTAATGACGCTATCAAATACACACAAAGAATTACTGAAATTGCTTTGAAAGCTTACCATTTAACTCATTTAATGCTGCACAGTCCTGGGTATCATGTGTGCTTCTCCTACAGGAGTCAATTCCTTCGAAGGTTCATCCCTCTACCAGAAAAGAGGCTGCCAATTGGTGCACATTAAGTGAAGTTTCATTTTTCAAGATACAGAAAAGCTGCGCTTGGTGTTCAGTGTTTTTTCTTTTTCCTTTCAAATTCTGAATTCACTTACTGGTCATCTCACAGAGTCTCTCTTAAGACTACTCCTACAGTTGGATATTTGTGAACACTTAAAAGAAAATTTCAGGCTTTGGGATACTACCACACATGTTATAAAGACAAGAAGTTTATTTCCAGACAAGAAACGTAAGCATTTTCAAGACATGTTTAGGAGCAAACAGTACACCACCAAAATGATGTATGCAATAACCCAGCAAGGCAGCAATACACATTAGCCTAAACCAAATAAACCTAAAATTCAAATGCTTTTACACTTCCCATCTACAAATTCAGTCTCTTTGGCTCTCATAAACAGCACAGGAGCACTTCTAGGTGTATTTGTGGGCTCTAACCGCAGATAACAAAACCCATGATCAGCACAACGCTGCTCTTGCTGCCCCATTTGACGCCACAAATAACAAAACACAGCGGGGAAGTGCAAATTTATAGTCTTAAGTCTAGACTTGAAACATCTGCCCATAGTGTCTGATAAGTTGCACTTTTTGTCATCTTTTCCTGTTACCTTTATATTATTTTGCTGCTGTTCTGTTGCAAAAATGTGTTAGCATCCTCATGTTTTAGCTCATTGCACCTTCCTTTTTTGATTGCAAACGGTCCCAGAAGTGCAGGACTTGAAAAAGAGAAGCAGACCGAGCTGGTTGCAGGTTGTTCAACAAACACTGAAGACAGGAACTTTCCAGGTAAGTTCCTGCTATTTTCATTTTCTAAAGGCAAAAGCTCTTGTAGAGTTTTGAGCTTAACAGTGCTGTTTGCTCAGATGCCTACAAAAAATCCATCTGCACTAAATAGCAACTAGTCAGGTAGAAGGCTACAAAATTATGAGTTTGAAAGCAGGGGAAAGCAAGCAGAGAGCCTTATTTCTGTGGTCCTGCTATCTCATTCACGGCTCAGCAAGCRAATGGCAAATATGGCATCTCGGCGCTGCCCAATTGCTGCAGTGACAGCCGCTCCTCCTCCCACCGATCCCATCCACCTTCCTCCGAAAGGAAAAAGCCCTTTTAATCTTCAAAGCATGGCCACAAGTCCATCTCAAACTCAGCACACTTTTTAATTTTCTTTTTAATTATCCAGTGGAGAGTGTTATGCCCTCCTTCCTCAGTGACCTTTCATTCCTTGCAGATTATTTCAAGAAATCTTTCCTGGGAATTAGCAACGAATTTAAACCCACTTGCAGGGGAGAAAAAGAAAAATGTTTCCAGGCTTTCAAGCACAAAGGGTGAAAAGCTAGTATGATTCTTCCTGTGCTTTTGTGCAGGCAGCTTTTGCGTCAACTCTGTATGCCAAGCAACTTCTGGCTTTGAAGCATTGATGGTTGCAAGGGCAGTTTTTGATGCCTCTGCAATCCCCACCCAAAAGCAAGTCCCTACACACAGGCAGCTCCTGCAGCAGCAAGGGAATTTCTTCATCTGGCGCTCTTCCAATAGGCAGGGCACGAGCAGTTAAGCCATCACTATTACAGAGGTTTTCCCACTGATAACCTTGACCAGGCATCTGTCCCGCGGGATTCGGTCACAACGCAGAACTCTGTTCGCCAGAATCACTTATCCTTCCACAGGGGGAAAAAAAAAAATACAAATTACAGCCGCTAACCATTTTTAAGTTGCCCCAGTACAACTTATTATTTGCCCTGCACTGTACAACTGTACGCAATCCTGCATTTTATTCCCACTTAAGCCAACCAGTTACTAGTTTATTAATTTCACGACAAGCTGAAAGTGTTTTCAGAGAAAGGCCCGTCTCTAACCAGACCCACTCATTAAATTCCCAAGCTCACACTTCATGGAGATGGAGGTGAAAACATTTACATGCTCTGCAATCCTGGGTCACCTCCTCTCAAATCTGCATTTGGGAATACTGCTTGCTCCCAAAAGTTCCCAGGATTTGCAAATCCAGGCCTGTTGTCACACAGGGACCATTAGTAAGAGGCAGGAGGTGGCACGGACCTGCTGAACCACAGCAGAGCTCTGGTCTGTGTCACATAACATGTTAACATGAAGGGAAACATGACAAAATTTAGCTCCATAGCTTGGATTTTTTTTTTTCTCTAAATGTAAGCCCTGAATTAAGTGCACATTAAATATAAATAAAGGCATTAAGTATCCTGGTGAGCAACAAAAATGCTTGCTAAGGCTTTATAAAAACTCTCCAGCCAAAGAGACAGAAATCAAACGGTCCATTTAATACTGGACTGATTGCTCAGGAAATCACAAAACTGGATAATATTTTGACAGAGTTCAGATTACTTAGAATAATATTCATAGCAGCTGTAATTTATTGAAAGAAAGCCTGTTCGGCAAGACAAGCCTTTTATGAAAAAACATTTTGGCAGCATTTAACGGCATACTTTTCTTGGGATTTTGGCCAGGAAAACAACATGTTTTGTAGCCAGGAGTGTGGTTTCAGTATTGGACCTTACCAGTTTCTGCATCTTAATATTAGGGCTATTAT